CCTGAGCAAGGACTTTGACACCATTAACCATGTTTTATTACCAGCCAAAATGGAACGTCATGGTATGTCTTACAGACATAAAAACTATCTTTACAATAATGTAACCAAGTTAAAATGACCAAATTAAATATAAAACAAACCAAAACAGAAAGAATGTGCAATGCTAAATGTTTAGGAGTAAATATTGATGAAAAACTAAATTGGAAATTGATATCGAAGACTTAAAAATACTGAGTACTTGAAAATCTAAATATATAAATCCATTTGCATATTGTGTGAGATTATAATTGTAGCTGATATTAAATCACTGCGTTTATTATTTGATTCCCAATAATGCCACAACGGCATTATGTGGAAATATGGGGAATTACTATAAAACAATAATTCAACCTATCTTCCTACGCCCCCTGCAGGACACTCTCTCTGCTCTGTACAAATGTCACTGATAATTCACTAGTGACTTTGTCACTAGTAACTTTACCTGATGTTAGTACTACTGCATTATTACATATCCATCTGATATTTACCTTTTATTAGTATCACTGCATGCTCCATGGACTCTCCGAACTCCTCCCAGTCCCGGGTTTTTGCCTCTGCAACAGCCCGGGCCGCGGCACGCTTGGCCTGCCGGTACTGGACAGCTGCCTCAGGAGTCCCCCGAACCATCATGGCTCGATAGGACTCCTTCTACAGTCTGACAGCATCCTTTACTGTCCACCACCGGGTTCTGCTGCCGTCGGGACCAGCACCAGAGACACTGTAACCAAAGCTACGAGCTGCAGCATCGGCGATAGAGGAAGAAAACTTTTCAAAGAAGCGGACGACAAATCCGAGGCCCGTAGTAACAGATTAGAAAAGCGCATTGAAAGCATGCATTCCACTCTCTGCCGTCATACTGACGAAATCAAAACTTTGCGTGCTGATACAAACATGCTGCAGGAACGTATCACGCAAACTAACAAGCACCAAAAGTCATTGGAGGCAAAAATCACCGAGATGGAAGACAGATCTCGCAGAGACAACCTTCTTATATTCAACCTTAAGGAGGGAACGGAAGGGCCAAACGCTCGGGCTTACTTGATGGAGAGCTTCCCGAAGTGGTTCCCGGCTCTGGGGGCTGCCCCTCTGGAGATCATGAGGGCGCACCGTCTGGGCCCGCCGCGGAGATCCACTGCTTCAGCGGACACTGGCCATAGTTATCGCCCGCGTCCTCTTATCCTGAAGTGCCTGCGCTACACCGAGAGGGACCTGCTGCTGAAGGAGGCTCGCAAACACGCACCTGAAGTCGCCGGGATCCAGTTAAAGTTCGCCGCGGATTACAGCGAACCCACGACAGCCCGCCGTAAATCATGCTACAAAATAATGCATGATGCCCGCACTAAAGGATTCGACGCGTTTCTTCTCTACCCCGCTACAATCAAGCTCCAGCGAAGCAACGAAAGCTATGTCTTCAAGGAGTCCACGGATGCTGAAGAATTCCTTGCGGCTGATAATCGTGACTAGCACAACAATGCAGGGTAAGACTGTCTATCTGATGGGTCCTTTGTTTTTGTTTTCTTTTTTGTACATGAATAGGCCAGATGTAAAGACTTTTTTTCCCTTCTCTTTTTTCCTTGTTTTTCTATTTTTATTCATTTTCTTTTATGACTTTCCTGGCTATAATAAGACATTGCACGTTGGGACAGGTACGACAAATCATCCCACCTTTTGTTATTGTAATGGGGAGATGGTCTAAGCTCAGATCATGGTTATCGGAACTGTCTTTTTGGGGGAATGGGTCTTTTTTCTTTGCGTTTTTTCAGGGGGGATTTTGATTTTCTTTCTTTTAATTACTTGCCATTGTAATCCTTTTTTATTTGTTTGTGTGTGTGTGCGTGTGTGTGTGCGTGTGCGTGGGGGGGTATTGTCTAGGTATCTTTTTGTTTCTCATGTCCTGTCACATACTACATATATATTAAATGGATAAAATTAATGTTCTTTCATTGAATGTACGTGGGTTAAATTTTCCACAGAAGCGCCTAAGCACTCTAGACTTCTTGCATAGGAGGAGCATCGATGTAGCTTTTATTCAAGAAACACATCTTCTTCAAATAGACACGCATAGACTAAACAATAAACACTATGAGGTTATTGCCTCATCATGCAACGAAAAGAGGAAAAAAGGAGTTCTCATAGCCATCCGTCGCAATCTAACATATTCCAATTTAGGCACTGGCAGCAATGCAGGGGGCCGGATAACATTCTGTAAAATCATCTTAAATGGAATTAAAATTGCGCTCATGTGTGTCTATGCACCAAATAGCTATGATCAAGACTTCTATGACTCTCTAAACTCTATTCTTCTTGATTTGACTGATTATCGCCTCCTTATTGGGGGGGACTTTAATGCAGTATTGAACCATAGCACTGATAGAACAGGAGCCAAAGAGAGTAACGACCAAAGACTAGCTTCTATTGCATTGCAAACTTTAATTCAGCAATATTGTCTAATTGATACATGGCATTTGATGAATCCATCAGCTCGAGAATTTTCTTTTTATTCCGCACGTCACAAAACCTTCTCCAGGATTGATTATATATTTGTGTCAAAAAACCTTTTTGAAAGTATTTGTGCTACAGATATGACGCCCTTTCCATTTTCAGATCATAGAGCCGTCTCTTGCTCCTTCAAAATTAAAGCAGTCCAGACCAGGGCCACACGATGGCGTTTTAATACAACTTTACTTCAGGACGAGGACTTTGTGAAACTATTAACTGAGGATATAACAGATTTTATTGCTATCAATGAACCGTCAGTGAATGACCCGAGAATCTGCTGGGAGGCTGTCAAGGGATGTATCAGAAACCGCTCAATTTCCTATGCTTCGAGATTAAATAGAACTAAAAAACAGAGAATAGCAACTCTCGAACAGGAAATTACTGTGATTGAGAGGGAAATGGTAGATGTGGTCACTCCTGAAAAAATTAATAAGCGCACAACACTTTTTAATGAGCTTAGTGATCTGCTGAGACAGAAGGCAGAATTTCAAATGCACAGAGCTCGACAGATCCACTACACAAACAGTGCAAAACCAAGCCGCCTACTTGCTCTAAAAATTAAAAACAATGAGCAGTTAGCCAACATCTCAGCCATTACTACAGAAAATGGCACTGTGACTTCTGACCCTGCTGATATTAATAATGCTTTTAAATTATTTTATGAAAAACTATATAAGTCAGAGGTTACTCATAGCAACAAAAAATGCAATGATTTTCTAAAATCACTAAATCTTTCAAAACTGCCACAAGAGGCTGCAGATTCATTAGGAGCAGAAATCACTTTAGAGGAACTCACTAATGCGATTAAATCAATGAACACAGGTAGATCTCCAGGATTAGACGGCATCCCACCCGAATTGTATTGTGCCCTTTGGCCCCAGTTGGGACCGTTGCTCCTAAAAATGTTACATTTTTCGATTAATAATGGCTCTTTCACTGACAGCTCCAATATAGCAATTATTTCACTTCTACTCAAAAAAGGTAAACCTCGAACAGAATGCTCCTCCTATCGGCCCATCAGTCTCCTAAATACAGACTTAAAGGTGTTTGCAAAGGTTCTGGCGGCTAGACTAGAGAAATATATGCCAGACCTGGTCCATTATGACCAGACTGGTTTCATCAAGTCCCGACTCGCATCAGACAATGTCCGCAGATTACTGCATGTTATAGACAGCTCATCTAAAGCTCCAAACCAAAATGCCATTCTTTCGATTGATGCTGAAAAGGCATTCGATCGATTAGAATGGAGCTACTTATGGTCTGTGCTTAAGCATATTGGTTTTGATGAAAATTTCATCTTAATGATTAAAACTCTTTACGCCAACCCCAGTGCAGTGGTTATGACAGGCACTTCTTGCTCTCCTAGGTTTCCTGTGTCCCGCTGTTCACGCCAGGGCTGCCCACTGTCACCACTGTTATTTACTCTCTCTCTAGAACCGATAGCACAACTCATTAGACAGTCAGGTGAAACTGAGCCGATCAAGATTCAAAACAGCGTTCATCATATTTCATTATATGCCGATGACATTCTAATCTATACTAGCAATCCAGTAAAATCAATTCCATTTTTGCTTGACACTTTTGAGCAGTTTGGCAAAATAGCGGGCTACAAAGTAAACTGGACAAAATCTGCTTTGATGCCTCTGAGTCTTGTCACAAATGATATGTCTGTTCTGAATATTCCCATTGTTAAAACTATGAAATACCTTGGTATCCAAATTCATCCGAGAATGAGTACTATGATTAACGAAAATTATAATAATACCTTGATAACTCTAAAAGATGACCTTCAGAGATGGGGAAAACTTCCAATGTCCTTTCAAGCTCGCTTATCTGTTATAAAAATGAACATACTACCTCGTGTCAATTTTATTAGCTCCATGCTGCCCTTAGACCCACCAAAAGGATATTGGAAGAAGTTACATTCTCTTACTAATACATATTTATGGAACAATAAAAAGCCCAGAGTGAAAGCATCTACTCTTCAAAAACCTAAAGAATCCGGGGGTCTCAACCTCCCCAATTTTGAATGGTACTCCTGGTGCTTCACTCTGCGAGCCCTGGTCTCATGGCTTGGAACTGGGAATGCAGCATCGTGGAGCCCCATTGAAATGGAGCTAGTCAAACCATATAACTTGTCAAGTTTTATCTACTCCAACATTCCAATGAAAATGATAAAACAAGACCATGGTCCCATCATTACCCACCTGGTGACGACCTGGAACAGGGTGAACCGGTTCACTAAAAACAGTGATATATTTCACCTACAGTCACCAATTTTTAACAATCATCTACTCTTAATAGGCAAAAAAACAATATCTTTCCCCCAGTGGGAACACAAGGGAATCCATTCTTTGAAAGACATCACAGGGCCAGATGGACTAAGGGAATTTCAGGATCTTAGAACTTCTTACAATTTACCAAGCTCGTCATTCTTTTTTTATCTTCAGCTACGGACTGCTATGCAGGCTCAGGGGGTCCCATGGGGGTGCTACCTCCCAGACCACCCATTCCATTCTATCCTGGGCCAAGGGAAACTCAATGGTATTGTCTCCAAACTATATAAATGTATCTTAAAATCACAATGTAATCGTCTGCCAATTGAATCACTTTGGAAATCAGATTTAAATGACTATACCGTTTGGGACTGGTCTAAAATTTGGTCCAACTTATCACTATCATCGAGAAATCCAAATCACCAAATGATTCATTATAAATGTATTCACAGGTCCTACTTATTTCCAAGGCAATTACATAAGATGAAGCTAAAAGAGAACCCTTACTGTGATTACTGTGCAGACAATACCATTGGAACGTACCTTCATATGATCTGGGAATGTCCTGAAGTCCATCAGTTCTGGAACACAATCTCATCGTGCCTCTCTGACATCACAGGTCAGAATATTCCCACACACACCCCGAGGCTTTTGATATTGAATGACACATCAGACCTGAATCTAACTGTTAATGAGCATCGAACACTGTTTGCTGGTCTCACCGCTGCAAAAAAAATTATAGTGTGCCGTTGGAAAACTAAACAGCCTCTGAGTGTGAGGGAATGGCTCTCCTCGTACAGAGAGATCGCTCAATTAGAACTGTCAGCAGCCCGGGTTCATAAGGCCAAAGCGGTAAATGTAATCTGCTGGTCTAATTTATTGACCAAACTTGTATAGACTATACACCAGTGTATTATACATAGATCTATGTAAAACCCATAACTATTGTTCTTTATTTTCATTTACCCTTTCTGTAAGGCTTTGTCTTTTTTTTTATTTTTATTTTTTATTATTGTTTACATAAGACTATGTAAACACTGCGGCTTCTGTGGATGTTCATAACGGAGGAAGTTCGCCATATTATGTGTCTGTAAATAATGAAATGTTATTGATGCCTGGAGAATGGGGTGGGGGGGGTTAGCGGGGCTGGGTGTGTGCATGTGTGTGTGTGTGTGTTTGTGTATTTATGTTGGGATGGGTGGACCCATGGGAGGGAGGGGACAAAAATGTAAAATGTTCGCGCATTTGTTTTCTGTTCTGTGACCATTGTCATCTCTGTATGCAGCGCAACACAATAAATACTTGATCAAAAAAAAAAAAAAGAGGAAGAAAACATGGTCCACTCGGACTCTATGTCCCTCTCCTCCGCCAGGACCTGGGAGAAGCTCTCCCGGAGGTGTGAGTTGAAAGTCCGTCTGACAGGGGTCTCAGCGAGACGTTCCCAGCAGACCCTCACTACACGCTTGGGTCTGCCAGGTCTGACCGGCTTCTTCCCCTGCCAGCGGATCCAACTCACGACCAGGTGGTGGTCGGTTGACAGCTCCGCCCCTCTCTTTAGCTCCGTCCCTCTCTTTAGCCCCGCCCCTCTCTTCATCCGAGTGTCCGAGAAACACGGCCGAAGGTCAGATGACAACAAAGTGGATCATCGACCTCAGGTCCTGGCGCCCCCTGGTGGACACCCTTGTGCTGGAACATGGTGTTGGACAAACTGACTGGCACAGAGGTCCAACAACTGAACACGGCTCGGGTTCAGATCAGGGCCGTTCTTCCCCTTCACCCCTCTCCAAGTGTCACTGGCGTCCCCTACATGGGCGTTGAAGTCCCCCAGGAGAATAACGGAGTCCCCGAGCGGTGCACTGTCCAGTACCCCTCCCAGGGACTCCAAGAAGGCCGGGTACTCTGCACTGCTGTTAGGCCCGTAGGCACAACAACAGTGAGAGACTTGTCCCCCACCCGAAGGCGGAGGGACGCGACCCTCTCATTCACCGGGGAGAACTCCAACACATGGAGCTGAGATGGGGTATGGCCACCCCCGCTCGCCGCCTCTCCCCGCGAGGAACACCAGAAAAGTGGAGAGTCCAACCCTCTCAAGGAGAGAAGAGCCCAAGCTGTGTGTGGAGGTGAGGCCGACTCTCTCAGTGGGTATCTCTGACTGGGATTAAGGCCCAGTTTAGACGGAGGCGCTGCCAAGTTATTAACAGAAACGACCAGGCTCCTAATACAAATTTCACCTCCTAATACAGAGTTCACTCGAGGACCAAAAACGATGTAGTTCTAGCGCCCGGCCAGTAGGGGGCGGAAAAAACGTTACAACACACACACGCGACCCCCAGCCCCCCCGGTAGTATACTCACTTCCTCTGCAAGACGTGAAAGAACCAACATCATTCTGCATTTTAACAGCAGCTTTGAAAATGGAAACTGAACCTAGAGCTTCCCGTGGTCTCGTTTGGACGAACGAAGCAATAGAATTATCCTCTGTGTAGCGCTCGAAGCCCACGAAGCTAGTTGGTGCAACTGCAGCCATTGTTGTTTACGTTTGTTCTACTGCGCATGTCCAAATGTACGTGCGGGGAGCAGCAGGGAGGTGGGGGTCAGATCAGACAGGGATTTCACATCTTTTTCCCTCACGCGGGTGTGAAAGAGCCATAGTGTTTTAATGCCACATTGTCTCCGTGTGAACGGCCCCTGACACGTCTTCGTTAATCCCAGGTTCTCTGTCAGACTTGGGCCGAAGAGCGGAGCTATCGGGGGAAGACCATCCGCCGGGTCTTCATTTCAGGGACCAGAGGGAGCGGCGAGGAGAGGAGGCCCCTGGACCAGCTCCTGCAGGAGGAGGGGAGGACCTACGGGGACCTCCTGCAGTGGGACTTCACCGACTCCTTCTACAACCTGACACTGAAGCAGCTGCTGTTCCTGGACTGGTTCCAGACCCGGTGTCGCCGCTGCCGCTTCCTGATGAGCGGAGACGACGACATCTTCGCCAACACCGACAACATGGTGGAGTTTCTGCTCAGTCGCCACGACAACGACGGAGACCAGCCCCTGTTCGTGGGTGGGTCCGATAGTTCTGGATGACCCAGAGCTGGCTAGGCTCTCTCTGGTCTTTTTATGGTCTCTCTCTAGTCTCTCTCTGTCTCTCTGTACGCTCTCTCTCTGACCTCCTATCACCTCCTCTTTGTAGGGAGCGTGCTCTTCCAGGCGGCTGCGGTCCGAGACATCAACAGCAAGTTTACTGAGAAACTGTGTCTGAAAATGGGGGAGTGACCATGTGGTCTCTCTCTGGTCTCTCGTTCTCTCTCTGGCTTCTGTCTCTGGTCTCTCTGGCTTCTGTCTCTGGTCTCTCTCTCTCTCTCTCTGGCTTCTGCCTCTGGTCTCTCTCTCTCTCTCTCTGGCTTCTGCCTCTGGTCTCTCTCTCTCTCAGCTTTAAAACATACGACTGCTCCTTTAAGGCTTTCCCTTATTGGGGGTTATTTTAGAACACATCGTCCCTGTGTTAAGAACCTCTGTACTGTTTAACACTTGAAGTATGTTTCTGATCTGGGACTGTCCTGCTGGTGCCGAGCCAGGCCTCCGGATCAGTCTTCCTTAAAATGTGAAACAGGCCTTTTGTCCCAGTTCTTGACTCCAGGTTAAAAACTTAATGTGTCTTTTTACTGTCTTGTGTGATTGTATGAACTGAGCCATACCAATAAACTGGTATTAGTACCGCCCAATACTAAAACACCACAATATGTTAAGACTGTATATACAGTGTTTTGCGAAAGTATTCGGCCCCCTTGAACCTTTCAACATTTCGCCACATTTCAGTCTTCAAACATAAAGATATAAAATTTTAATTTTTTGTCATGAATCAACAACAAGTGGGACACAATCGTGAAGTGGAACGAAATGTATTGGATAATTTAAACTTTTTTAACAAATAAAAAACTGAATAGTGGGGCGTGCAATATTATTGGGCCCCTTTACTTTCAGTGCAGCAAACTCAGTCCAGAAGTTCAGTGAGGATCTTTGAATGATCCAATGTTGTCCTAAATGACTGATGATGATAAATAGAATGCTCCTGTGTGTAATCAAGTCTCCGTATAAATGCACCTGCTCTTTGATAGTCTCAGGGTTCTGTTTAAAGCTCAGAGAGAACCATGAAGACAAAGGAACACACCAGGCAGGTCCGAGATACTGTTGTGGATAAAGCCGGATTTGGATACAAAAAGATTTCCCAAGCTTTAAACATCTCAAGGAGCACTGTGCAAGCAATTATATTGAAATGGAAGGAGTATCAGACCACTGCAAATCTACCAAGACCCGGCCGTCCCTCCAAACTTTCATCTCAAACAAGGAGAAGACTGATCAGAGATGCAGACGCTCTCCATCCAACCTCACTGAGCTCGAGCTGTTTTGCAAGGAAGAATGGGCAAGAATTCCAGTCTCTCGATGTGCAAAACTGATAGAGACATACCCCAAGCGACTTGCAGCTGTAATTGCAGCAAAAGGTGGCGCTACAAAGTATTAGCACAAGGGGGCCGAATAATATTGCACGCCCCACTTTTCAGTTTATTTGTTAAAAAAGTTTAAATTATCCAATAAATTTCGTTCCACTTCACGATTGTGTCCCACTTGTTTTTGATTCTTGACAAAAAAATAAATGTTTATATCTTTATGTTTGAAGCCTGAAATGTGGCAAAATGTTGAAAGGTTCAAGGGGGCCGAATACTTTCGCAAGGCACTGTAGATCCATGATATAGATGGACAATGCTAACCTGCTAGCTAGGACCAGGTGGAAGAGTTCTGGTCCAAAAGAAAAACACATGGTACTCCTTGGTTCACAACTTTATTCGGGAATGACAACAGTGTCAAATTAAGATTCAGAGTTTAGCCCCGTTTCCATCAAACCCTACTCTACTGCTCTGGTCCGGCTTAACCAGTACCAGGTCCTTCTTTAGTCCCTCTTGGTCCTGGTTCTATCCAGGCCAAGCTGGTACTTAAGTGTTCTAACTGACAGTGACTGGACACAGTGCTGCTGAGGGAGAGGGGGAGAGAGAGCGAGAGAGAGAGGGCTAGTACTACCTCTCTAACAGACAGTGATTGGCCAGAGTGCTGCAGGAAGCCAAGGTTACCAAGGAATTTCCACAGATACTGGTTTGTTGTGGGTCGGTTGCTAGGATACGGTAGCAGAGAATGAAGAGCAGAGCAGAGTTGGTGGAAACGGGGCTTCTGTACGGAAGATCATGATTCCTGGTCGTCTTATTGTCCGGTTCCGTCTTCACTTCCTGCTTGTAACTGGTCTTTGTGACATCACAGGTGAAAACGAAAGACTCGATAAAATAGAAGTTTATAATAATGTCTATAATCGACAACACACATTCACACAAACAGGAAAAACAGTGACGTTACATAAGAGACATAGTGGAGAGACTACGGCTGCATCCCAATTCAACACAAACTCCTCCTTCCTTAATCTTTGTCGTTTTGAGAGATTTAAAAATGTACCTTTTCTGACACGGGGCAGCTCCAGCTTTGGTCACGTGACAAACACAACCATAAAGATGTTTTTGAAGCCGCAAATGTTGTTAAAAATGAGAAGGAAAGACTGGGAAGGTATGTGTTATGAATTCAGATGCAGCCAACCCCATTGCAGAGATACAGACATAGGAGTGTATGGAATTGCATTGTAACAGTGGCCTCCGGTGGTCGATCTGTGTAACTGCAGCACTTTACCACACTGGTCACGTGCATCTGAAAGCTTTTGGAGCATAAAGGACTGAAAATAAGTGACAAAAATCTATTCCCTTACAAACGTGCATTTCAGAACGTGCCCACACACCATCAAGACTCAAACGACTTTAATTCAGGATCAGGATTCATTCATTTTCTGATATGACCCGGAATATTCCACTGGTTTGAAGAGGATTGATCTGAACAGTGTGGGAAACTACAGAGATACATCCTAATATCTTGAATTAAAGTAGTTTTAAATCTCAATAGTTCGGTTTAACATGTGGTTTGTTCTGAAATGAGCTTAAGATTCTCCCTTTCACATGGTGCCGAGACAAGAGCTCTGGTGTGTACTATGTGGGCCTCTTGCACCGATAGTCCAATGTGGTTTTACTGCATATGGACAATAAACATTATCTGAATCTGAGAAAAGAGAGACCAAACAGAGACGAGAGAGACACCAGAGAGAGAGCCTAGAGATACAGACCAATAAGGGAGACCAGGGAGAGACCAGAGAGAGACAAGAGAGAGACCAGAGAAAGACCAGAGAGAGACCAGAGAGACTAGAAAGGCATCCTTTTGGCACACAGTCACTCTAAAACTCTCTGACATCCTGAGTCCCACTCCCCCATCTCTGTGTCTATTGAGCGCCACCTCTACCAGCCCCATACCTACCAGATACACAAAATGCCTTCTGACATCTCTAGCTATCGCCAAGAGGATAATCTTACTAAACTGGAAAACCAAAAACTCAATAAGTATCAACCACTGGATCAACTCCCTTACCCATCACATCACCACACATCACCCATCATCTCAGGATCATAACGTACTGTCCTTCACGGAAACTTGGTCACCCTTCATCAAATACCTCAATATCACTGTATACTAATCACTAGCGTTTGGAAGTCCCCCCACTATCCACTGACGCACACTCACACACACATACACACGAGAACCCTAACACCATTAGTATTATGCTGCTAACCCTGTCACCACAGTAACCAAAGCTCTTTTTTACCAAACTGGAAAAATTATAAAAACCAACAACAGACTCACACCTACTAGATCAGGCCATTCAGGAGGGGAGGCATGCGCTCTAGAGGTGATTCCCCTGGAGCGCAGACCTCCCACAGAACCCTGGATTTTTAATGCATAACATAAGCCACGCTCAACACACACAACATACACAAGGAACAAGACTAAACAAGGAAGTGACCCTGCTATTGCTGGAGCAGACCCCAACAGTGACAGGACTAAAAAAAAAAAAAAAAACCTTGCATGTTTTTAATGCACTAGACACGCACTAAAAAATAAATAAATAAATAAATGAAAAAATACAAATAATAATACAAAATAAGCAAATAAATATGTGGTCACATAAACACAGCCAAAATACGTCACTGGGATCTGTGGAGACAGCAGGTGGCAGCACTCATTATTTTAGTTTTATTTACTGTTATTGTTCTGTTTTCTATTTCTTCTTCAGACATATATGGTCACACATTTATACATATACACAAACACTCAAACACATTAACACCCACACTTACACATTAGCACCTACATATTTCCACGACAGTACTTGCTTGTTATTTTATTTTTATTAAGTATTTTGTTTTCTTTGTTTCATGTTCTGGATGCCTTAAAAATGCTGCCCCCCAGTCATTATGACTTAAAACAGTCATAATGACTGCTGAAGAGTCATACCTTTAAAGGAATAGTTCACCGTTTTTACATACTGACATATGTTCTTACCTTACCTTAGACTAGTTAATACGTACCTGTCTGGTCTTAGTCCGTGCGCTCTGTCATGCAAACGGAGCAAAAACGGGAGCACAACCGCAGCCTCCTCTGTATATTTTGTAGCACCAAAAGGTAGCTCCCGCTAGAAGCTACCAAACTCTTCCAAGTGTTCCCTATTAAATGTATATAGTTATGTGACGTGTTACACTGCAAAGTATAGTAACACAGAAATGTAACAGTCGATTTTCTCAGCGGATAAAACGGGTACTATATTGTGAGGCGTAGTAATCTGAGGAGCGCTACGCCCGCGCACTAACTTCTCTCCGGAGACTTCTCTCTCGCTGCTACTGTGTGTACTACAAGTCACGCTGCTTCTATTGACGGAAGTGAGCGAGAGAGAAGTCTCCGGAGAGAAGTTAGTGCGCGGACGTAGCGCCCCTCAGATTACTACGCCTCACAATATAGTACCCGTTTTATCCGCTGAGAAAATCGACTGTTACATTTCTGTGTTACTATACTTTGCAGTGTAACACGTCACGTAACTATATACATTTAATAGGGAACACTTGGAAGAGTTTGGTAGCTTCTAGCGGGAGCTACCTTTTGGGTACTATACAGTATACAGAGGAGGCTGCGTTTGTGCTCCCGTTTTTGCTCCGTTTGCATGACAGAGCGCACGGACTAAGACCAGACAGGTACGTATTAACTAGTCTCAGGTAAGGTAAGAACATATGTCAGTATGTACAAACGGTGAACTATTCCTTTAAAGCTGGTCCACATATGTTCATACAGTGTAGACCGTGTAGTTAGTTTGTGGGAGAGTACGATGCACTTACAGTACGACTCTATAGATGAAATTGTGTTGTTGTTGTGTTGCTGTTGTGTTGCTGTCACTGGTTCTTGGTTCAGTATTTTTAAAGCCTGCTGTGGTTCGGCTTCTTCACAAAAGCTTCTGTGGAGAGAGCGGTCGCTGAGAGGAAGTCTGCAAAGCTCTGCAAAGCTCTGCTCAGACGCACACACACGCACAAAAATGCACACACACACACACACGCTAACGCACACACACGCACAAAAATGCACACACACACACACGCTAACGCACACACATCATGCACCGATCGCAAACAGCAGATAAATATTCACTGTTGTGGAAAGTGAAACACACACACACAGGCGCACACACACACAGGCACACACACACAAACTTCATGCACCGACCGCAAGCAGCAGATAGATTTGCAGATTGAAACGATTGGATCTGAGTGTAACTCATTTTGCATTTAACCTAGCTTTAGCATGTAGCCTAGCTTTAGCCTTCTGGGTCTTACCATGTACGTCTGGTAAGACCCAGACGTACATGTAGGAAATGATCATGGACCAGAGTTTACACATGGTAAGACCAGACGTACATGTAGGAGAGGATCATGGACCAGAGTTTACACATGGTAAGACCAGACGTACATGTAGGAAATGATCATGGACCAGAGTTTACACATGGTAAGACCAGACGTACATGTAGGAGAGGATCATGGACCAGATTTTACACATGGTAAGACCAGACGTACATGTAGGAAATGATCATGGACCAGAGTTTACACATGGTAAGACCAGACGTACATGTAGGAGAGGATCATGGACCAGAGTTTACACATGGTAAGACCAGACGTACATGTAGGAGATGATCATGGACCAGAGTTTACACATGGTAAGACCAGACGTACATGTAGGAAAGGATCATGGACCAGAGTTTACACATGGTAAGACCAGGATAAGAAAGAACGGATCGATCACAAAACCTGGGCCGTTGTCGTTGCTCTAGTCTTTAGTCACGGTTCTACAGTTCAGGACATTTGTGAAAATTCACTTTTTTGTTCTGAATTGCATCGATCGACTGCAAACCGTTCACACACTTTGTCATCTCGTGTTCAGAAAGTCCGAGTGGCTGAGAGTCCAAATCCATGTTAGTGTCGGAGTTTGGGTCCAACTTTCAAATGTTCTGTTAAATGTACTGCACTTTTTTACCTTTGCTTTGGCATCTGTTTTTGTGAAACTGCGAGAACTGTACTCGGTATTGTACGTTTAATCATAACCAAACATTCTTAGACAGAAGGGGAACTTTATGAACTCACCTCTGCTTTAATCGGTGTTCCGGAATCCCATTTGAGTTCTGAAACGTCAAGAGATGTAGATGAAAGCAGGATCTCCACAGACAGTCCTACAGCGTCAGTCACAGTCAATAAGACGTCAACACAATCCAAGAACCCAAGACGTTCTGACCAATGGAAAGGCTTCTTCTTGTGGTGACGTGTTTCTATTGGTTATTCAGTAAATCAGTGTTTCTTGTTGGATGAGGAGACTGTCCCATTCAAGGAGACACAAACAGATCCCGAACAGGACCTGTCCACAGGCGGCCACAGCGCAGTAGTACGTCCCAGTTTGCTCTGACCTCACGTTATGAATGTGGAGGTCGTAGAAGCAGGAGTTTGTTGGACTGTCCGTGCTTTTCTCGCACTGATCACTACTTTTCCCACGACTGTAGAGAACTCCTGCTGTGGATTCTTCAGACTTCTTGAACCAGTGAACGCTGTGTGCTCCATTACAGCTCTCAGTCTGGACGCTGCAGCTTTAAGATTGATTTGGAAATACAGTTTTAATACCATTTTATATTAGAAGAGAACTACTAAAGGTTTCAAAATCAATAGTTTTTTTTTGTCTGATCCCCCCAAATCGACACAAGCCCATAGCAACGTCCCTAGAGATGAAAAAAAGTTCACAGCCTCTTCTCCCTTGGTGACGTCAGAGCGGGTGCGTTTCAACCGGCTGTTAGTTAGTTAGTAGTTTGGTATTTGGTAGACTTTTTTTTCACGGATATTCAACATGACAAGGCGGTGTATTGCAATGTACTGCTCTCGAACGCACAACCGGCTTTATGGGTGGCCAAAGGATAAAAAAGAGCGAAGCTTTGGACGGCATTCGTCCAAATCAAGAGGAAGAATTGGCAGCCGTCTGTTGACAGTACTGGGAAGTGTGGTCCGATGTTATGCTCTCAACATTTCACCGTGGATTGTTTTGCGAATTTGCTTCAGTATCAAAGTGGATACGGCAAATGGTAAGGAGCACCTGATGAGTTACAGCACTGGCACCGCAGTGACTGGGGTTCAACTCTGGGTCCGAGAATGTTTTTGCACAGAACGGCACTATAATATATACGTGTAATGAGCAGTCAACGCCTGTAGAGTGCAGTTTTGCGTCAGACATCAGCGGAGAGAAGAGAGGATAGCAAGAGGATCTATGATAACCATGCCTCTGGTGTGTTCATGTGTGTATACCTGTATGCATGTGTGTGTATGTATATATATATGATAGGATATACTTTATACTACTTATATAACATATAAGTTATATATAATATATATATAATGTATATATATACATATATATGTGTGTGTATCATGTTATAGGGGTAGGCCACGATCTTTTCTGCACTTTTCATTCATATTATTAATCTGATGTCTTCTATTTGAAATTGATTTGCCAGGTTATTACTAAAACTAGATGCAGTACCTACACTGCATACTGCAGTACCTACACTGCATACTGCGGTACCTACACTGCATACTGCAGTACCTACACTGCATACTGCAGTCTCGACAAAGGATGCTATCGCCGACTGTGGCCAAGTATCAGGTTCTAGTGACGCAAGCTGTGGCCAAGATGTTTTACACCTGGTCCGTCAAGATCACCCCCAAGACCAGCATCCTTAAGACCAGCATCCTTAAGACCAGCATCCTTAAGACCAGCATCCTTAAGACCAGCATCCTTAAGACCAGCATCCTTAAGACCAGCATCCTTAAGACCAGCATCCTTAAGACCAGCATCCTTAAGACCAGCATCCTTAAGACGGGAAAAACAATGTATGATCAGTGAAGTTCTTTACACCAACAATGAAGAAGAAACTAGACTGATGTTGAGGAATACCAAAAGCTGAAAACAGTAGGTCTAAATAATTAATCAGTCTAACACATTCCTCTATATGACTGTTCTGTTATTAATTACTGAACATTGATATTTTTCAGGTACCCAGACACTAAAGTGGAAACCGAAAAGCTAACAATGCAAAAGCAGAAGGAAGTATAGGTCTAAAAGGGTTCAGTGTGGCAAACAAACTTTGAAGAGGAAGAGGAAGAGGCGGCACAGTCCTTCATCTTTTGTGCGACTCTGATTCTGAGTCAGAAATCTCAATCCATGACAACGATGAGTATAGCACTTCAGATGGAGAGGAGTATGATGCTGAGGTGCACAATAATAACCCTCAGAAGTGAAGTAAGTTCTTATGATTTATGATCTTACAATTGTTTGTCATAATATATCACTCTGTCAAGTTCTGCGTCTTATGAAACATTTACATAATGAATTCATATGAATAAATCAATTCATCATCTAAAAGACAACTTTTTCTTCAGATCAGATGAACATGATCCTTACAACAAGAGAAAAATATATAATCTTTGAATCATTTCTACTGTCACTGTTGTCAGTTTGCATGGTCTGCTCTGGCCACAACCGCTGCTAGAAAAAGGTAAAAGCCATTCAACACAGCCTTGAAAAGCTAAGGATGTAAAGTTAAAACATTTGTCCGAGGAGACTCATGTTCTTTGTGCGAGAATTACCAGATAAAGCTCAAATATACAAAAAATGTGACTCTGTTTATACTCTGGTGGGTAATTGGTGAAAATGTTTTTAATCTGATTTAATTCTTGTAGACAAGGGGCACCCTCCTCACTGTCCAGACCGTCTGTGAGAAGTGTGGACAGTCCAGAGAATGGAAGAATCAGCCGTGTGTGAGGCAAATGCCCAGAATGAATATTTTTATTAGTGCTGCTATTTTATTTACTGGGTCAATGCTAACCAAAACATAAAATGTAATTTTTGTTTATATTTTCAGCTTTCTTAACATTGAATGTCTCAGAATCCAGACCTTTTTCAGTCACCAAGCATCACATCTTCATGATGTAATTTGAAATGTGTGGAAAAGCGCAAAACTGAACCTCTGGGACTCCCTTCGTGGAAGAAGTCTGGTCCTTGGCGGTGATGCCGCTGCGTCTCAATGGGTCACAGTGCAAAGTTTGGATGCTACAGTCTAATTGACATTGGACTGAACGAGCTTCGCACACTTAACCTTGTACCGGTAATTTCATTCATTTTCTTTTTAAATGTCTTTTTAACAAAATTCCCAATCCTCTTTTACAATATTTGTTTCTAAATCCTTGTTCCATGCCTTCAATCTTAAATCAGAATTGTCAGTTGAGTTGGACACTACCAAGTTATACAATTCTGATATTCTGCTCAAACTGTTTTTACTTTTCAGAGGTTTAGTTAAACTATCTTGATTAGATCGAATGAAGCTTCTAAGCTGAAGACATTTAAAACAGTATGTTTTATGTTTGTTAGTAAAGATTCATAGTTGGATCTAATTTTGATAAGTATATAAAGTGATCCACTACTTTATAAATTATAGCTTGTGAATTGAATTTTAGATTCTCTCTCATTTAGCAATAGAATAGAACATGTTGATTTATTAATTGTATAACCTGATATTTTACTAAAAGCACTAATCAAATCTAGAACAACTCTGTGTTCAGTGTTGTGAAAAATAGTTGTTTTATCTTTCTTCCTCAAAGGACATTAGATTATCTGAGTTTGGTTTATAAAGGTCCTGTATCTTTCTTTAACCCTAACCCACAGATTCCCCGTAATTGAAGTATAAAGAGACAAGTTACAAGGCTCTTTACATGTTTGTGTACTTTAAACAGATTTTAATCATATTCTTCATGATCGGGTTATTATTATTTTAGCACAACCATCACAGACACACAACCATCGCAGACACACAACCATCACAGACACACAACCATCACAGACACACAACCATCGCAGACACACAATCATCGCAGACACACAACCATCACAGACACACAACCATCACAGACACACAACCATCGCAGACACACAACCATCGCAGACACACAACCATCACAGACACACAACCATCACAGACACACAACCATCACAGACACACAACCATCGCAGACACACAACCATCGCAGACACACAATCATCGCAGATACAGACACACAATCATCACAGATACACAATCATCACAGATACACAACCATCACAGATACACAATCATCACAGATACACAACCATCACAGATACACAATCATCACAGACACACAACCATCACAGATACACAACAATCACAGATACACAACCATCACAGATACACAACCATCACAGATACACAATCATCACAGATACACAATCATCACAGATACACAACCATCACAGATACACAACCATCACAGATACACAATCATCACAGATACACAATTATCACAGATACACAACCATCACAGATACAGACACACAACCATCACAGATACACAACCATCACAGATACGCAACCATCACAGATACACAACCATCACAGATACACAACCATCACAGATACACAATCATCACAGATACACAATTATCACAGATACACAACCATCACAGATACACAACCATCACAGATACGCAACCATCGCAGATACAGACACACAATCATCGCAGATACACAACCATCACAGACACACACAACCATCACAGACACCCAACCATCACAGATACACAACCATCACAGATACACAACAATCACAGATACACAACCATCACAGATACACAACCATCACAGATACACAACCATCACAGATACACAACCATCACAGATACACAATCATCACAGATACACAACCATCACAGATACACAATCATCACAGATACACAATTATCACAGATACACAACCATCACAGATACAGACACACAACCATCACAGATACACAACCATCACAGATACGCAACCATCACAGATACACAACCATCACAGACACACAACCATCGCAGACACACAATCATCGCAGACACACAATCATCGCAGATACAGACACACAATCATCGCAGATACACAACCATCACAGACACACAACCATCACAGACACACAACCATCACAGACACCCAACCATCACAGATACACAACCATCACAGATACACAACAATCACAGATACACAACCATCACAGATACACAACCATCACAGATACACAACCATCACAGATACACAACCATCACAGATACACAATCATCACAGATACACAACCATCACAGATACACAATCATCACAGATACACAATTATCACAGATACACAACCATCACAGATACAGACACACAACCATCACAGATACACAACCATCACAGATACGCAACCATCACAGATACACAACCATCACAGACACACAACCATCGCAGACACACAATCATCGCAGATACAGACACACAATCATCGCAGATACACAACCATCACAGACACACAACCATCACAGACACACAACCATCACAGACACACAACCATCACAGATACACAACCATCACAGATACACAACAATCACAGATACACAACCATCACAGATACACAACCATCACAGATACACAACCATCACAGATACACAATCATCACAGATACACAACCATCACAGATACACAATCATCACAGATACACAATTATCACAGATACACAACCATCACAGATACAGACACACAACCATCACAGATACACAACCATCACAGATACGCAACCATCACAGATACACAACCATCACAGACACACAACCATCGCAGACACACAATCATCGCAGATACAGACACACAATCATCGCAGATACAGACACACAATCATCGCAGATACACAACCATCACAGACACACAACCATCACAGACACACAACCATCACAGACACACAACCATCACAGACACACAACCATCACAGATACACAACCATCACAGATACACAACAATCACAGATACACAACCATCACAGATACACAACCATCACAGATACACAACCATCACAGATACACAACCATCACAGATACACAATCATCACAGATACACAACCATCACAGACACACAACCATCACAGATACACAACAATCACAGATACACAACCATCACAGATACACAACCATTACAGATACACAACCATCACAGATACACAACCATCACAGATACACAACCATCACAGATACACAACCATCACAGATACACAATCATCACAGATACACAACCATCACAGATACACAATCATCACAGATACACAATCATCACAGATACACAATTATCACAGATACACAACCATCACAGATACAGACACACAACCATCACAGATACACAACCATCACAGGTACGCAACCATCACAGATACACAACCATCACAGATACACAATCATCGCAGACACACAATCCCGTGTCCTGCTGCCACAGTTTTCAAAAATCTTGAAATCTTAGTTTTTTACAAAATCAAAAAAAATGTTAATTCACAATCAGTTTGGCTTCAGGAAAAACACTGCACTGGCAACAATGGAACTGACAGAAAATATCAGGAGAAAAATATGAAGTTAAATATGTTGTAAGTATCTTTTTAGACCCGTCAAAGGCTTTTGATGTCATTAACCAGATTACTTTGGAAACTCCAGAAAATGGAACCAGAGGCTTTGCTCAAACATGGGCCTCTGGTTATCTAGAAAATCCTAAACAGTTTGTCCAGATAAATTGTATGGATTCAGAACCATGTGATATCACAAGGCTCAGTACTATGACCAATACAGTATTCATGACTGTCCAAAAGTATCAACTCTATTACAAAGTATCTTATTCGCTGATGACACATTATTTTGTTCTGAAATCACACAGGAGAGTTTACAACAGTAATAACCAAAGAACTTGCAAAAAATATATTAAGATTCATCAAATCCTGTCATCAAACACTCAATCACAGAGCTCTCTTTAATCATAAATATCTTACACAAAGCCCTCTGATCCTCTACAAGTTTTGACTGTGTCCCACTGCTACATGTGAACCCCCTGCTGTGGTTGGGTCACAAGGTGTGGAAAAATAAAACCCTCAGATCACACTGGTCTATTCAAGAATAAATACCATACATTGATCCTCTCTGTAAATATCTTACATAAAACCCCTTGATCCTCTCTGTAAATATCTTACATAAAACCCCTTGATCCTCTCTGTAAATATCTTAAATAAAACCCATTGGTCCTTTTTGTAAAATTCGGCTGCCGTACCACTTGCTGCAGAAAAAAAAAAACGCCACTCTGTAAAATACAATACAATACAATTTATTCTTGTGTACACAACAGGAGTCATCTCTGAGACTTAAAGGACAACTCACCCTCAAATCCACTTTTTTTTGCTGATAAACGGTATAAATGAGTGTCCAATAGTGTTGTCTACATATCCTGGTCATAGTTTTTTCACTTTGGTGCAAATTAGTTGAAAGTTAAACTTTCTGCCTAAAACCGTCTGTGAGGCGCCATCTGCTGGCGACCTGTATTACTACATTTGAATTTTGAATCTGGCGCCAACACTGGCACAGAAGTTGGACCTGACGTCTGCAAGTTGGACCTGACGTCAGCAGCCCCCCGCCCAGAGCAATGTAAACGGCCCAGTCTCGTTCACGCCCCCTTTAGTCCTCCAGGCCACGTCCATTTAGAGGAAGATTTGAACAGGAAATGTGAGTGACGTAAGCTCCGAGGAGCGGGGGTGAGAACCAATTTAACAAAACCATTGAAATCACCAACACAGGTCAGAGAATCAACAGTTAAAACACAGAAAGAATATAGAACACATGTCCATCAGAGGAAAAACTCATAAGAAAAACCCAGTGGGAGAAAAAGGGAGAAACCTCGGGGCGACCCACAGTTTGAGAAAGGGATCTGCTCCACACAAGTGTCACCGTTTGGAAAATAGGGTGCAGTACCACCTTTTCACCACATGGCACTACATGTATCACCCTGATTGGCTGCTAGAACATCCTCCCAACCCCTTATTTTTGATTGGCTAATAAGCCACCCTCCCACCCGCCTCATCTTGATTGGCTGATGCACCTTCATCCCACCCCCTTCATTCTGATTGGCCCCCAAATACAAAACACAATCTGTCTTTTTGCCTAAACTTTGCTTGTACCAATAATATGTTTCTCTATACTCGCTGAAATCTTTGTTGAAACAGGGCAGAGTGATGCTGTCTCCAGGAGCAGCGAAGAGGAAATGGTTTGTTTCTTGAAGATTCACTTGAGCTGAAGATCACAACAACCACAACAACGTCTGATTTTTACTCATTTCAACAGATGATAATGTTCATAATTCTAAAGTAACTCACCGTTAGTGGCCAAGACTAGACTGAAGACCAACACGAGACTGAAGACCAGCAGAACTCTGAACGGTCGTCCCATGTTGAGATGCAGGTGCAGACTGGAAATGGTTGATCCCGCCTCTGCTCTTTACAGCCAAGCTCGCATCTGATTGGCCGACAAGATGAAAGGATCTGATTTGCTGCATTTCAATCTACTGCACAATCTAATGTTGTTGAATTATTATCATCGCAAGAGGCTCTGATGGAAACATTCAGGTGCAAATAAGTCGTGAGATCTATGAGATATTGTTGTGCTGCTCAAGTCCAGAGAGAGAGAGATTGACTCGATGAGTTGTAGCCTGTTTTCTATGGGAGTGGATCTCTCCTTCTCTGAGGTCCTCCCGAGGTTTCTCTTTTCTGACTGACGAGGAGGTGATGGGGAGGAGGAGGGTTACTGCACAATATGAAAGCTCGATGACAAAGCAGGGCAGTGCTTAAATGTTTCCAGGTGACATATTAGCAAACTGCTGATGCAGCAGCAGAGGGAGGACTGAGAGCAGTGAGTCGGTGCACAGAGAGAGTTTCAGTCTGAACCCTCAAGGCGCCAAAATACTCAAGCAACAGCACTTTGAATCAGTGCAGAAATAACATTGAAGCGAGTGAGTCCAAGCACAAACTGTGGACCCTGTGTCCAGGGTCAGCAGGAACTGTGTTTCACGGGTCAAGGTCCATCTGGAGATTAGGAGGCTCTCATTTTGCAGAGAACAAGTCTGGAATCAGCATCAGGACTGCCTCTGCTACTTGTGCCTCCCCATAATCACAGGGACAGTACGTGATGGAGAAGCCTTGGTCTTGTGTTTGTTAGACGACAGAGAGCTCGGGGCCAACGTAGGAGCAGGGACAGTCTGCTCACAGCAGGGGCAGGAAGGGTTTGCTTTTACTATTTCCCTGAACATTTAGTTTGGTACGATGTGAGTCATGTTTGTGTTCATGTCCTAGTGATCTGTAGGTCTGTCAGTTTGAAAAACAAAACATTTCATGAAGATTCAAAACTCATGAAAGCCATCATAATATGCAAATTAGAGGGATGATTTTAATTCCTAAATGAACTTTGGGCCATCTTTAATCTTTTTGCAATTTACGGAGAAATTCTATCTCTCATCACTTTTGGGTTATAGCTTTTTAAAATTAAGAAATCTAGTACTTATGAAAAAAACCCTGGTGCCTAAAGGGTTAATCTCCACTTTAATCTTCTGTTCATAAAATGTAAAGTATGACCTTCATGTGTTTCTGAAAACACATGTGGGACCAGTCTGAGGTGTTCTGTTTTTGTCGTGGCCGATACTCTCTGTTCAGGCTGTGCTTTGTCTCTTTCTGAAACTGTATGACTTCCTGAGTCAAACCACTTTGCTGCAAAGACACAGACTCTTAATGTTCACAGATTACAGCCGTCACAGAAGAGGTCACTTTACAAACTGAGACAAACATGTTCTAATAAGTTCCAGTTATTCCAGCTTCAAGGACTTCATTTAAGAAAGAAATCAAAGGATCTAAAAGTGACAAATCTTTAGAAACTCACTTTTGTGTGATCTAAAGAAAAGCGAGGTTTGTCGTGTGTTGCAAAGTCTGCAAATAAACAGCATAATGTCAAAGGTTTAGGAGGATTTTACACTTCCAGGTGGATCAAGACTATTGGTCCTCACAGCTGTCAATCATTCTGCTGATACGTGCTCGTCCAATAAGACCAGAGAGTTTTGTTCAAAAAGTGGAGAGGGCGGTTCTTTCCTGAAATTTAGGAAAATCCTTCTTTATATTTTTAAGATGGCCCATTTTATTAAACTAGCTCTAAAACAAACAAGAAAATACAAAAAGCTTTAAAACAAGAAAAAAGTGTTCAAACTTCTGTCTTTGTTCCATCTTTAACTCTTTCCTTCACTGCACATATTTGTGACTCCTCAGAACACGATGTAAGGATTATAAATTAGGTCAAACTGACACAAAAGCATTAGGATGATGACAACAGACAACTGTACTCACGTAAATGATTATTTAACAACAAAGTTTGGTTCTTCATCTTTAACAGACACTTCTTAAACAAATACAAGTGAATAAAAACAGATCTCACAAAGTAGCAGACAGTATCGTGGGCTCCTGAACAGGTTTCAGATCACACTACTGCTGTGATCAGTTTAGTTTTTATTGATGCTACAAACATCACACACTCACAAGCATAAAGGAAATCTACACAGCATAATAACGGGTATATTTAAAACAGATAATCAGTCATGTAAATTATATATCGTCCCATTCTCTATAAAGAGCGGTTTAAAAGCTAAAATATTAAGCTTGATCCACTACAGCGACCGCATCCCTGCAGACGCTAAACCGTCTCAATCTCAGGCTCCATCCTTCTCTCACTGAGAACAAGACCTGAGACTGGGACTCCTGCACTAAGGTCATGGTGTAATAGTAAGTGACTTTGTGGGATCAGATTGTGCGTCGGCCATCTTCAGGATCATGGAACAGACTGAGCAGTGATCCTACAGTAGTTGGAATACACGCTCCGGTCTCCTTCTCAAAGACACCACCCCATGATGTGCTCCAAAGGCACTGGCCCTGATCGTTTGCAGAGACGTTTCAGCCAAGACAGTCCCACACCATCCAGAGCAGGGCTGTCAAATCTGTTCTCAAACAACCAGTGTGGTTAAAGTAATTCATTTCATCCGAGCAAGAAAACACCAGACTCCATTCAAGAGTTCAGTCTTAACTCCTGCTCGGTTGGAATGAAATCCTGCAGCCTCACAGGCCTTTTGACGACTGCTTTGACATCTCTGCTCTAGAGACTGAAGATATTCAGGACGGATCTCATCCACTCCCAGGTTCTTGCACCGAGGAGGTCACCAATGACCTCTGACTTCAGCCAGAGAGGTGGAAGTATCCGTCCCAAGGTCTTCAAACTAGAGGACGGGGGTCGAGGAGAACCTTCAAGTGTTCTTCCACCGTCCAACAGTCGCTCCAGTATCTACACCTGCTCTGTACACACTGCTGATCAAAGTGAATATATATAATGCATTATAATTGTTGACACGTTCATATTTATCTACAGCGATGAATCAAAGGAAAACAATGGCATCTGGAGAAACTACAGCACATTTGAAAAGCTCTTTTGCGCTCACTGCTCCACACTGAAGTAGACGCACTCGCTCCATGTGTCATGTGACTGTCTCCTTCTGTTCACCTGCTCTGTGGCCTTGTGCTGCAGACGTTTGGCAACATCCTGATACAGAGCAAAATAAAAACACATCGTGATCCTTTGGTTTTCATGTGATTGAAACTAACCCACAGGAAACAAGTCCATACCTTTGTCTTAGCTGCAGCACTTCTCACCGATTTGTCTGCAAAGAAGAATGGGTCAAAACTGAGAACGAGGAGATACTATTTAGACAACATGAGAAAGATAATTAAAGAGGACACACCAAACTTCTTTCTCAAACAACAGATCAGAGACTGAAACAGCTCGAACACAGTAAATACAATAATAACAAAGGATCCATGGGTCCAAAGGGAGCGGGACGACCACTTTCTAGAAATGTCCTGGATCATCCCTGTCCTTAGACCCTCCTGCATTTATGATTCTTATTATTATATGTTTAGTGCATTGGAAATCTCAATATTGATCTAAAATGATCCCATTAAGAGTTGAGTCTGCTTCTGTCCTCTGTCTGTGTTTGGTCAGAGGAGAATATGAATAACTTAAACATGCTTGAATTGCTCCAAAAACTTCTGTGAGTGTAAATGACAAAGATAAATGATTATAGCAAGTCGCTTATGTTTGCTTTAATATAAGGTTTGGTGAGGTTGTATCCCCTTTAAAGTCAGTTTGCTGAGGTCTAAGCCAGATTTAGTCTGTTGTCTCTTTGTTGTACCTTTGTTATATTCACACCACATGAAATGAAGCTTCAACAGTACCTGTGTTGTTATTTGTGCACAAGCAGAAAGAGAGTCCAACAACCAGACTGGTGCTGAACACAGACACTCCACTCAAGACATAGACCAACATGTCTGAGACTTCTACACAAGAACAGAAAGAGAATTATCAAATGTCAGACTTTTATTGGGTTTATTCCAAAGATGTAGCTCACCTCTGACCCTGAGCCTGGTCCCGTTCCCGAACAGGACCTGTCCACAGGCGGCCACAGCGCAGTAGTACGTCCCAGTTTGCTCTGATCTCACGTTATGAATGTGGAGGTCGTAGAAGCAGGAGTTTGTCGGGTTTGTTTCGTCGCTCTGGCACTGATCCTCGCCGTAGAGAACTGCTGCAGACTCTTCCGACTGTCTGAACCAATGGACCCTGTGTGGCCCCAGACACGTTCCCGAATCAACCTCATATCGAAGGACCAGAGAGCGTCCTGCTTCCACTGGTCCTGACGCCGTTTGATGGACGCCGAGTCCAGGGTTCAAAGTCTTTACGAAGACGTGAACAGACGCCAAGAACTGGATCTGATGAGCCACTGCACTGAGGCAATGATAAACAGCTGAATCTGAAATTCTGACTTGCGATATTTCAAGATTGTTTTTATAGTCTTCTTTATCCAGTTTGAAGCGATCGTTGTTCTCGAAGTCACCGTAAAATTCAGTTTCAAAGAAAGAAGAAACCACAGCCGTAATGTCATCCAGACTCTGTTTGTACCAGTAAAGCTTCCCTCGAATATCGTTTTTACAGAAACACGGCAAAATCACATGCTCTCCAAGTGCCACTGGCAAGAGCGTCGTCTTTACTGCTGCACCTCCATCTGTCCACGGCTGAGAATCTGAGAATCTTCACTGAACGAAAGAAAAGGTAGAAGTTAGAGCAGGATAAGACTCAGACACAACGACAGAAACTCACCTGTGACCAGATGTACGAGAAGGAGGCAACAGACCTTCTGCACAGGAGCCATTCTCTTCAAACTCTCTTCTTCACTGAACTGCGTCCTGACTTTGTCAAGAAACAAGCTCGACTCTGATTGGCCGAGCTGAAGTCACACCACACAGTGACATGAACACTTAAAGATCGGGGAGATTGGTGTTTTTCCTCCACATATACCCACAGACACAGACACACCTACAACATCCTCATTGGTTTGAGAGATACGTAGCAAACAGAGGCCACCCGCTTTTTTAAAGCTGCAGGGTGTAATTTTTGAGAGATGGCAGGTGCAGGTGGCAAGGCAGGTTTTATTTGTATAGCACAGTTCATACACAAGGCAACTCAAAGTGTTTAACAAAACAAGACAGAAACTTTCCCACAAGGCATTAAATCACAGAACATTAAAATAGTAAAGATACAATGCCTCAGTATGCACAGCTGAACAGAACTGTTTTTGACCTGGATTTGAACATTGTCAGAGAAGAAGCCTGTCTCACAATTTTAGGAAGATCTCCTCACCACTAACACACAGCAGAGCTAAAGCTGTGTGTTCTGTTCTATAGTTCACTGGTTCCCAAACCTTTCTTGCCGGGACCTCACTGAAGAATAAATAGTATTAATTAACATGCTAAATCCATGGAAGTCTTATTATGGGAGTAATCTGTTGTGGCCATTGGTATAAGTGCACTGAAATGCTGATGTCTATGAGAGAGATATATGTAGTATTGTATAGATGCGGTGGTGGAGGCAGTGAAGCTACAGGTGAACTCTGGAGTACACACAGTCTGTCTGAGGCGTGACTCTCTGTCGTCTGGAGGAAGACTGAACGTTCAGAGCAGCGTAGTGAAGAGAGTCCTCGTCCTGCTCCTGACAATAACAAACACAGACACACAATTCTGTCTCTTCACAATGTAATTCATCTCAATAAACAGGGGTGCACATAAGTGGTACGCAGGTACGCAAGCGCGACAAATATCAGAAATGTACTATCATTTGAGTTAGTAAGCGCCTTTGCGTACTTCACATAGACCGAGGCAGCTTTTGTAATGACAGCGGCTCCTTGACAACAACGCGGCGAGCACGTAGCCGAACGAGGTCATAATGCACCCAGGACCATTCTCTGCTCGTTGCAAGTGTGTGTCTTTGCGTAGTAAATAAATACATATTGCGTTACTGCAAGAAACAGAGCTGGACTGTGGAGCCTGAGGGGAGTGTCCATGTCCTCCCTGTGTCTCTAAATTAAAGCTGTGGTACCTACATTTTCCCTTGAATTAGTAATGCATAAAAATGTTGGTTGTTCCCAAAAGTAAAATGTGGTGAACTAATCAAACAGAGTATTGTTTTATTTTATCGTTTTTAAGAAAGAGCCCTGTGAGTCATTATTTGACTTGGAGTAAGTGGAATATCTGAGCTGGTCTAAACTTTAGCATTGAAAAGAAGCAAGTATAAAATCTCAATAAAACACTATAGTTTTAAAGCAAAGGAAGGTTTCTCACCCATCATCTGTATTTCTTAGCAAGTTTTCCCGACGTTTCGTCCTCAACCTAGCGAACTTCTTCAGGGAATGAATTCTCGGACCGCGCGTTGGAGATTTATAACCTATTTAAAACGCGCGGTCCGAGAATTCATTCCCTGAAGAAGTCCGCTAGGTTGAGGACGAAACGTCGGGAAAACTTGCTAAGAAGTACAGATGATGGGTGAGAAACCTTCCTTTGCTTTGACTAATCCCTGTACGACTGAGGGCTTACACAAACTCTAGTTTTAATGAGACAAAGAGTGAAAAGAAGCTAGTCCTGCTCAAACCCAGGTTTTTGGGTGGTAGACTTCCACCTTCATCAGAGGAGACACGTGACTGAGTCTCTGATCTGCTGCTGTTACTGAAGCGTCTCTGAAGTGAGTCCCATGTGTTCTTTATTTCAATGATCAGAGACATGTTGTTCCATCACGTGTTTCCCCTGATGGTGTAAGTCTACAGGGGCGACAGTGCCTCACTCCCACTGCTGTCTGCTGTCATTGTGTCCTTGGGCAAGACACTTTATCCCACTTTGCCTATAAGGAGCGCTGAAGTAGATATATTCATATTGTGTTTATGACTATTCAGCGAACCGAATTTCTCCGTTCTTCTTCTTCTTCTTCTTTAACATGTGGTGATTAAGCAGGACTAGCTTGTTTACACTCTATATCTTAGTAAAAAGATCTTTTAAGCCTTAAACTTAAGAATGAATTATTAGCGTTTGACATGATTTACTCACCTCATTATTAGTATATATATATATATATATACTAATATATATATATATATATATATATATATATATATATATATATCTTTTCGTAGTATACAGGCTGGTGTCCTGGTGCAGTGGTAACAACCTGGAGCTGAACGCCCAGAAGACAGTGGAGATGATTGTGGACTTCAGGAAGAGCACTGTCCCCCCGCCCCCACCCTCCGTGATGGACTCCCCCATCACCTCTGTGGAGTCCTTCCGTTTCCTGGGCACCACCATCACCCAGGACCTCAAGTGGGATCCGACCATCAGCTCCCTCATCAAGAAGGCCCAGCAGAGGATGCACTTCCTGCTGCAGCTCAGGAAAGCCAACACTGCAAAAAGTAAATTCTAAGTAAAAAAATCTTGAAATAAGAAAAGAAAAACCTTGTTTTTTGTACAAAAAGAAAAGAAATCTTGTCTAGCAAAATTTCCTTGAGAATAAAATTCTCATTTTAAGAAATTAATTCTAGCTTTTGTTTATTAAGAAAAATGTGCTTAAAAAAGTAATATTTGGATCCAAAACGAGCAACAATTACTTAGTTAGGCTCCTCTTTCTTGAAAAAATAAGAAAACAAGAAATCTTAAGATAAGAAAAAAGATCTTTTCAATTGAATTCAATGTAGTTTAACTTCAATGTATTTGTGAATCGTCCAAAACCACAGCAGCAGTCGCCGAGAAGGAGTTAACTCAATAGTCATTATAACTATTTCTTACTAAATAAACACAATATGTTTATGTTCACCACAGGTCGTTATAGTTGGATCCATCCAAAGTTTTGATGTTACACAAACCGACATCTTCACACGGTCCACACAAGTCATTATTGCTTTAGAAGCGCATTTGTTTTGGGCGGAAATTATGTCCATGACTGCAGACGCTGCTCCCTCTTCACCATGACGGTCCGATACAGCTCTGACTGCAGACGCTGCTCCCTCTTCACCATGACGGTCCGATACAGCTCTGACTGCAGACGCTGCTCCCTCTTCACCATGACGGTCCGATACAGCTCTGACTACAGACGCTGCTCCCTCTTCACCACGACGGTCCGATACAGCTCTGACTACAGACGCTGCTCCCTCTTCACCACGACGGTCCGATACAGCTCTGACTGCAGACGCTGCTCCCTCTTCACCACGACGGTCCGATACAGCTCTGACTACAGACGCTGCTCCCTCTTCACCACAACGGTCCGATACAGCTCTGACTACAGACGCTGCTCCCTCTTCACCACAACGATCCGATACAGCTCTGACTGCAGACGCTGCTCCCTCTTCACCACGACTGTCCGATACAGCTCTGACTACAGACGCTGCTCCCTCTTCACCACGACGGTCCGATACAGCTCTGACTACAGACGCTGCTCCCTCTTCACCACGACGGTCCGATACAGCTCTGACTACAGACGCTGCTCCCTCTTTACCACGACGGTCCGGTACAGCTCTGACTACAGACGCTGCTCCTTCTTTACCACGGCGGTCTGACAGAGCTCTGACTACAGACGCTGCTCCCTCTTTACCACGACGGTCCGGTACAGCTCTGACTACAGACGCTGCTCCCTCTTCACCACAACGGTCCGATACAGCTCTGACTACAGACGCTGCTCCCTCTTTACCACAACGGTCCGATACAGCTCTGACTACAGACCCTGCTCCCTCTTCACCATGACGGTCCGATACAGCTCTGACTACAGACGCTGCTCCCTCTTCACCACAACGGTCCGATACAGCTCTGACTACAGACGCTGCTCCCTTTTCACCACGACGGTCCGATACAGCTCTGACTACAGACGCTGCTCCCTCTTCACCACAACGATCCGATACAGCTCTGACTGCAGACGCTGCTCCCTCTTCACCACGACTGTCCGATACAGCTCTGACTGCAGACGCTGCTCCCTCTTCACCCCAGACGGTCCGATACAGCTCTGACTGCAGACGCTGCTCCCTCTTCACCCCAGACGGTCCGATACAGCTCTGACTACAGACGCTGCTCCCTCTTTACCACGACGGTCCGATACAGCTCTGACTACAGACGCTGCTCCTTCTTTACCACGGCGGTCTGACAGAGCTCTGACTACAGACGCTGCTCCCTCTTTACCACGACGGTCCGGTACAGCTCTGACTACAGACGCTGCTCCCTCTTCACCACGACGGTCCGATACAGCTCTGACTACAGACGCTGCTCCCTCTTCACCACAGACGGTCCGATACAGCGACCGCATCACTGCGCACGCTGCACCGATCTGTCTGTCAATCTCTCGCTCCATCCTTCCCTCACTCGTGAACAAGACCCCGAGATACTTGAACTCCTCCACTTGAGGAAGAACCTCTCCACCTGGAGAGGGCACGGCACCAAAAACAAGAATATATTTCTTGATATAAGTTGTTTTCTCCCAATAAAAAGGTCAGATATAAGCAAAATATTCTGACCCAGATGAGGTCAAAGACATGATGCAGCACGTCTCCATCTATCACTGACCTGAGCCAACAGAGCATTATGGCCTGAATCTGAATCCAGAGTTTACTATTAGTTAATAACTTACACTCATAACTATTTGGTGTTAATTCAGATTGCTTTAGTAAAATATTTCTATAACACCGTGTTTCTGTAAAAACGATATTCGAGGGAAGCTTTACTGGTACAAACAGAGTCTGGATGACATTATGGCTGTGGTTTCTTCTTACTTTGAAACTGAATTTTACGGTGACTTCGAGAACAACGATCGCTTCAAACTGGATAAAGAAGACTATAAAAACAATCTTGAAATATCGCGTGTCAGAATTTCAGATTCAGCTGTTTATCATTGCCTCAGTGCAGCGGCTCATCAGATCCAGTTCTTGGCGTCTGTTCACGTCTTCGTAAAGACTTTGAACCCTGGACTCGGCGTCCATCAAACGGCGTCAGGACCAGTGGAAGCAGGACGCTCTCTGGTCCTTCGATATGAGGTTGATTCGGGAACGTGTCTGGGGCCACACAGGGTCCATTGGTTCAGACAGTCGGAAGAGTCTGCAGCAGTTCTCTACGGCGAGGATCAGTGCCAGAGCGACGAAACAAACCCGACAAACTCCTGCTTCTACAACCTCCACATTCATAACGTGAGATCAGAGCAAACTGGGACGTACTACTGCGCTGTGGCCGCCTGTGGACAGGTCCTGTTCGGGAACGGGACCAGGCTCAGGGTCAGAGGTGAGTAAAATTCCAACGACCGTAGAAGCTCAGGGGCCTTATTCCCAAAGATTCTTAGTGCTAAGAGTTGCTCCTAGTGGCCAAATTCTAAGAACATTCTTAGAAGGTTGATGTACTCTTGGAATTTTCCCTAAAAGTGAAGAGTAGATCATTGTTAAGAAAAAAGCTATTCCTACAGAATCCTAGCTCTTAAGAAAGCTCCAAGGTGAGATCTCTAAGCGACTTTAAACGACTTAAGAATTCCCTATGAGGACAATATGGAGGATGGAAGAGACAGGAGAGAGATTCCACAAACACTGGAGGACTGTGGGGCCAAATTTAACTCTCAACACACTTTAATGCTCATTGACCCATTGACCCAGAAACAAACACTGTTCCTCTGTCCAGTTGGGTTTCCTCTTTCTTTCTTTTTTTGAAAGTCCAACACTGCTTCTTTTTGGCTGGTCAGCAATCACAGCTGTGCCATTTTTCCCTCGTTACACAAACGTGAGTAGAAATGAGATAAAATAAAAGATAAAATGACCAGCCTGGCAATTAATATCAGCAAATAAATTGTACTTTCTCTGTGTTAATATTGTGCCGGGCCTAAGTTTTCACACATTCTGTTTGATGATTAAAAAGTAAAACATACTATTCACAGCATTCATTTTACATTGACATATCTACAGTATTTATCTATATTTTATCTGGATTATTATTTACAATTACGCAGTCTAAGATGAGATTCAGTTTGTACATTTGAGGCTCCTTATTTTGCCCATCATCACAAAAAGTATGTTTTCTCGGGCCCAGAACTATAGAGAAAAGTCCAAACGTCTCTGTGATTTTGGGCTTGCTGCTTTAAACAGGAACTGAAACCATCTGTAACTGAAGGTGTGATTTCCATTGCTGAATTTCCTGCCCAACCTTTACACTTTTTGAAGAAATACTTTTCTTTCAGCAGAGGTCAACAAACAGAAGAACACAAACAAAATACATATTACTGTATTTCGTTTTCTTTCCATTATGAAAACATACACATATATAATGCAATATGATAGTCATGCAAAAAGTAGAATTCAAAAACACAGTATATACCAACTGTATACACAACACACAGACCCAAACACTCTCTGACCCTACACCTCTCTCCTACGACTCAATTCAATTCAATTCAATGTATTCTTGTATAGCCCTAAATCACAACAGATTTAGGGCTATACTCAGACTGCAGAAGGAGGACTGAGGCTGTAGATCCAGGACTCAGACTGTAGAAGGAGGACTGAGGCTGTAGATCCAGGACTCAGACTGCAGAAGGAGGACTGAGGCTGTAGATCCAGGACTGAGGCTGTAGAAGGAGGACTGAGGCTATAGATCCAGGACTCAGACTGTAGAAGGAGGACTGAGGCTGTAGATCCAGGACTCAGACTGTAGAAGGAGGACTGAGGCTGTAGACCCAGGACTCAGACTGTAGAAGGAGGACTGAGGCTGTAGACCCAGGACTCAGACTGTAGAAGGAGGATTGAGGCTGGTGAAGGACTGAAGCACTCCCAGGCGGGTCTAGCAGGGCAGTCCACCGGTGTAGATGAAGGGAGCCGGTTCAGAGGTCCCGCCGTCACGACATGAAACAGACAATGGGTGAATAGCAACGAACAGACTAGAGCCAAATACCTAATAATGCAGACAGATAAAGTTGGAAGGGGTAGAGGATAGTGCTCAAACTGACTCCCTACGCAGCTTGACTGACAATCTGAGACTCACTTTCTTTGAGTTTTTCAATGTTATTTTACGTATATAAAATTAAAACAATAACAAATGTATTAGTTCTGCCCTTGAAATAAGAAACTCGTCTGTTTGGAATACGTTTTTGTTTGAGGTTTTAGTCTTATCCAGCAGTAACTGTCTTTCTAACCCTAACCCTGTTCAAATCGATTCATGCACATAATTCTGTGTATTAGTCTCACATTTGTTTTGATATTTCTGCATTTCTGGAATTATGACGATTTCCATAATGTTCTTCTGACAACTTGACCTTTATATGTGGGTAGACTCTCGTGCCAATATCCCCAATAGTAAGTGTTTCAAGCTCTTGAAACTACTTCTTATAGTGTCTTCTCCACTGTCTTTGAACACAAGGTTTGGAGTCTGTGCAGCTGGTTCTCTTCTCATCTCTTCCATCCTCATCTCGTCTATGTTTGGGCTGCAGCTCTGGGCTTCTCTTCTGTCATGGTCGTGTTGTTGACCATCACAGTGTTCGTCATGATGAAGAAATACAAAAAGCAGAACACAGGTACAAATCCATGTTGCTTAACTCATTGAATGCCAGCCTATTTCAGAACAGGTACTCCCACAGTGCCAGCCATTTCTGATGATTTTTACAGATTTTTCAAGACCCACAGAATATTGTGTACTATGACTATCTGAAATCCGACACCAGATTCTAAAAGAATGGACTGTCTACTTTCCTCAGCAAAAAGAATTTTGTTTATAGCTTTTTTCGTTCCCCTGTAATCCTCCGTCGAGTAGAGGGAAGTTTTACTGAAATCACCAGAAATCACCAGAAAGTTGAGAAAAAAGAGGCACAACATGTGCACCTACATGTTTTCAAACCATTCAGAGAGAAATGCTGCCACCTGCTGGCTCGATAAAATATGGTCTCAAGTCATCCCCATACATATTAGATACAATAGACATCTGGGAACATAAAAATAGCAAAAAAGGCAATTGACGGATTAATGCGTCAATGGCACACGACGTTTGCTTTGACATTTGCTTTGACGTATTTGTGCGTCGATGGGACACAATGAGTTAAAAAGACACATGACATAAATACTTGCACCATGTTGAAATGTTTAGTCTATAACAGACTTGTAGCATTTTTTTTTTAGCTTTGTCCACATGAGTATCAACTTCTGCTGAAAATTGGCACTTACACGTTCCCCCGCCCCTTCTGTCTCCTCACTGCCTTTTAAAACTTGTAATTTTATGATGTATGTACATGTATGTTACTTTCAGCAGCAGTATTTGAAGACACCGGTTAATCTACGACGGCTAGAAACAAAGTTAACGTGTAGGTCATCTCTCCTGAATGAAGTTGTCACATCTGTTTAAGAAGAAGAAGATATACTTTATTGATGTCACAATGGAAAAATGCGGTTTGATGGATAGTCATACACATATATCACATCAAGGCATGCGGCGTGGTGTTACTTCCGCACTCCTTATAGGCTAAAGTGTCTTGCTCAAGGACACAATGAGAGCAGACAGCAGTGGGAGTCGGTGTATATTATAATGTTTTTCTAACCTTGGTAATGTACATGTAAAAACACAACTCAATAATATATGGATTCATGGGTTCGAATGACCGATTTACACTGGTTGGCGCTGTAGCAAAATAGCCGTCTTCATGTGAAATCCTGCCCCTGTCAGAAGTCAGAAGATATGTAGGGAAGGGCCTGGCTAATTCTGTGATGGGAGACCTCTGGGAACTCCAGGTGCTACAGAGATTTAAAGGTAGAAGTTTCAGATTAAGAGATTCCTTATGATACCTTTTACATCCACATTTGGAAATGTATGGTGAGAACAACCCGCTGACTCATGGCTCTGTTGAGGACGCCAAGTTTGAGGGCTTTCTTCAGAGCTATAGAGACGTCTACCTCCAGGAGCCCCCAGACCCAGACCCAAGGGCAAAAACGTGTCTTTTCACTCAGTTTCAGCTGCTGCAGTGACGTATCTGGTCAGAATAACTTTATGCAATAACAGATTTAGGTCAATTGGACACATTTTTTACTTTAACATGTTGCACACTTCTGTCTTTTGCACAATCTGAGTGATTCAATCTGCGCCAAATGTGACATATACAGTACATTTCTCCAGTGTTAGATAAAGTCTATCTTATCTTATGAATACCAACTTGATCATTATGCCAATACAATGTAATGGGATAAGAGAACTTTTCTTTTTCCCGTTTCGGTTTCAGTTTAGTTTATTTCAAAGGGGACAATGCAATTTAATAAAACACATGATTAAACATGAATTAAAAAAGCCAGGATTAGAAAAGGAGGCTATTTTTCATCTGTAGTCCCCTGGTTGTGATGTTAAAAACCCATGAACATATCCCCCGTGATGTGGGACTGTGGTTGTTGCAGTGCATATTACAGAACCCTTGGAAAAGACGGAACAAACTGCTGTATATCTTAGAGAAAAAGTCAATTTTTTATGTTTAAAAGTTATTTTGAATGAGTTATGCTTCAAAAACCAACGTGTCCCAAGTCTGTTCTAAAAAAAAACAAAGGCAATATAATAAATCCGAACTTTCTCCTCCAGAATCCAACAGACCACCTCGACTACGCTGCTTTGAACGTCAACAAGAAGTCCAGACGTCAGCGGAAGGTGGAGCCGACAGACTGTGTATACTTCCTGTGCCGGAACTGTTTGATTCACTGATCTGTTGTTGAGGAATTAACTTTGAAATGTTCTTAACTATGTTGTTAGTAATTCTTAAGTACATGTCCCCAGACAAATCACATGTTCACATCATGTTTGACCTTTTCAGAGTGGAGTCATTGAGAGAAAATACAACAGATGTTATGATTTTAGAGTAGAATATCCAATCAGAGAGTTTTGGTTGATTGGTGAAATGTAGCTGGTCTTGACCGTTACAAAATTAACAAACAAAAAATAGCACTGCATTTGTTTGAATTACCACAGATACAATTAGGGAGAGTTTGTACCGAGGGGAAGGTGGATTGCATAAAAAAATCAAATTCTAGAAAACAACAGTGATTATTATGACTTTACTATACATACAATCGTTTTAGGACATATCTTTTTACACAAAAACATGAGATTTCAAGTTATGTTTAGGGCCTCATAAGTCTTTTGTTAACTGAGAACCCGTCACATCCTTTGGTTTTTGGGACTTCTTCGAAACAGAGATGCGTGCTTTAGAATCCAGGCCTTTACCAAAAGTGACGCAGCTTCACCGGCCACAGCGGCATTTCCTTCACAAGGTTTTCTTCAGAGCTGAGACGAACCTTCCATCGATGCTTCTCCTACAGACGCTGTTTATTACGGGTAAGATTTTACCATAACTTTTTAAAAACAGCTTAGTTTCAACTACAACTCTGCTTTTTCTTGTATTTCTTTCAGGTCTTGAAACATTCTCCATGTGAGTGGAAGTGACGTGAGTCTGAATGTTGGCGAGCACATAACCCTGGCTTGCTCGCCAAGTGAAAAACCCGACTTGTTGGTTTGGTTTCTACAAAATCTCGAACAGAAACCCACTCTTGTGTCCTCGCTGTACATGTTCGACCAGAGGGGAATCTTCTACAGCACATTCAAGAACAACCCACGTTTCAGTCTGACGCCTGACTTTCACCTAATCCTTTCATATTTGCGAGTTCCTGACACGGCAACGTACTATTGCGCTTCAAGCCAACACTACGAGCTAAATTTTGCCAATGGGACAAACGGGATTGTCAAAGGAACTGGCTTAAACACAGGAAGAAGCAAAGACTTGGAAGCCGCTGCAGTGTCCCAGGTTCTCTACTGCAGCGTCAGGACGGAGAGTTGTCTCGGATCACGAGGAGTTCTCTGGTTTAAACAGTTTGAAGAATCGATGATGGGCGTCATCTACGGTGCGTGTGCGAGCAACAAGGAGAATCCCAACACATGTTTGTTCGACCTCTCAGTTCAATATGTGAGCTCAGAGCAGACTGGGGCGGCCGACTGCGCTGCTGTCACCTGCGGACACCAGCTCATTGGGAATCGAACCAAAATGATTTGAAATAGGGTTGGATAGCCGGGTCTTAGCTGTCCGTAAACGTCAGTCAATTATTATTTCCCTACATGTACGTCTGGGTGTCTGCATTTACATCGGTTGAATCCCCTCCGACAAATCAGCGAGCAGGGGAGGCGGGTGTTGTAGGTTGGTGTCGGTGACATCAAGAGTTTCTCCTGGTTGTTTTTTGCCGGAGAATGTGATAGTAAAGTAATCTGTTCTGGTTCGACTCCAAATATAAAGAAATTGAAGCTGGAGCAAGAGGAATGTTTAGTTAATGTCATCAAAGCAAATATCTTGTGGCTCTTCTCCTCACAGGCTCCGTTAGAGGCAAAGGAGATGGCTGAAGCTAGGCTAAATGCTAAGGCTAGCGACTCACTCGGTCGCAATACATATGTCATGGTAAACTCAGATCCAATTGTTTCAATCTGCAAAAGGAGTTAGCCCCCTCCAACTGATAACGGAGTCAATAGATCAAATCCAGAACTTAGTACAAAAGGAAATTAGTCCGATGGTATGGTAAGACCAGGCTAGGTAAGATGAAAATAAGATAAGATACTTCTTTATTGTCTCCCATAAGGGGAAATTTGTCTTGCGACTAGGACTTTTTACACAACATACATTTGCAGACACCACAGTAGACCTCAGGACCAAAGAAAAACAGTAACAGGACATCAAAACAGAGAGCAGTAGACACTTATTGGGCTTCAACCCCTCTTACTAATTCACACAAAATGAAACACAATCACACAGACACAGGCCCAAACACTCTCCGACCAAACAGACCCTAAAATTCACTCGGAAGAACTCAGCGGTAAATTAAGAGCCAGTCAATGTTTTAGCCTTGATATCACAAACAAGGAAAACTTGACGATTGTAGATTTGCAAGTTGCTGATTCGGCGGTGTACTTCTGCATCGGAGCCAATTTATACGACATGACGTTTTAGAAGGAGATTACCTTGGATGCAACAGATGCCAGGATTGCAGACAAACGTTTTGTTTTAGATTGGATGCCAGAGAATTCCGGTGCCAAAACAAACTCTGAGAAACTCGATTGCAGCTCAAGTGATGGAAAAGGCAAGATTTTTTGGTTCAACCCCTCAAATGAGTCGTCGAAGGGGGTTCTTTACAGACATGGAGGCAGCAGGGATCGGTCTGAGGGCGAGATGGACACTTTTTGGAACTGTGTCTACAACCTGCCAGAACACCGCGATAATACAAGCAACGATTGGAGAAAATGTGCCGTGGTTTTGATTGGTTTTGTTCCATTTGATCCAGTGGAGAAGACTGTAAAGAACGTACAGTGTGGTTGAGAGCTGACTCTCTCTGAAATGGCTGAGCACAAAACTAAAAGCAAACTAATGTTTACTAATGATATATCCCAGATTAACAAACATTATACTTTAGAGTTAGTATCTTTCACTTGCACTTCACATTGCCCCATTTCTGTCCCTGTTCCGTTTCTCTCCGACACATTTCTTGTTTGTTTAGCTTCAGACTGCTGCTCTACATTTTCACCTTGACAATGTTTTGGCACAGTTTAATTTTCAACCCTATTCTTTCAAAGACGTCTTTCCTCTCTCTCCGGCCTGGTGGCCTGAGTGTCTGCGAATACAAACCATAAACTGCATCTAAATCTGCGTAGCTAACCCGCTAGCTGAAGGAAGCCCAATAGGGAAATGAATTAATATCTATGTCAAAGAAGCCGTCATTCACGGGGGAGACTCCAGTTTGCCATAGCAAGCATCTAATCAACTCGTCTGCCCCTGTTATGGCTCAAGGTTAATGCCATTGAGAAAAATGCCCATATAAGGAAATTGGCTTTTTGTGCAAATCGGCTTCTCCCGCATTAAGACTAACTCTGTGGGGATGTCACACTCTGCTAGTCCACACCTAAATGCAATCTATTCAATTCAATTTCTCTTTGTGTGGCCCTGAACTGGTCTAAAATATAAACATACATTATTCCGGTGGAGTGGATGCTTTCTCTCTAAACCTTCAGTGAATGGACCACACAGAAAGGTTTGTTTGTCGATAAATGTCATGTAACTTTTCGCATGTTTGTCGACCGTACTTTCAGTTGGAGAGTCTCGCTCGGTCATGGTGTACATCTTGGGCGGAGTTTTGGCCGTGACTTTGATCGTTTCACTGTTTCTGGCTTTGGCTATTTACAAGATCAAGAAGAAATGTGGGTGGAATTCTGACATAGCATAAAGCAACGCACTTCCAACAGGCCCAGAACAGCTGCGGGCGGAACCCCGAGTGTGTTTACTCCGGGGTCCGACTCTAGAATTGTGTGACGAGAATAGACAAGATCTGATACAAGAACCTGTATGTCCCTGTGGCCATGAAGAAGTAATGACATGTATTTAGAGATCATCTTTAGAGACGGCCTCACTCAGCCAATCAGCTTCCAGCTCAAAGAGTCAAACAGTGACTCACAAATAGGCATAGACCTCTTACCAATATGCATAAGATAACAAATGTTTTAATAGTAATGTTTGTTTCCAATGGTCCACTTTTGTTGATGTCTCTGCTTTGTGTGTGTGTGTGTGTGTGTGTGTGCCAAATTGCCAAATAAAAACATGTATTCAAATTCAAACATTTCAAGTTGTGCCTTAATCGTTCCATTCCCAGATGAACAATGCTTTTTGAGATAACCAAACAAGGCTCCAGGTTTCTACAAAACGACCTCTCTGGTGTCTCCTTGGCCTTCCTCCCTGACCTCTGACCTCTCTGGTGTCTCCTTGGCCTTCCTCCCTGACCTCTCAGATTCAGATTCATTTATTTGCCATGGTTTGCAGTAAAACCACATTGGAAAAACTGTGCAAGACTACCCCAGTGTGCACCTCTGGTGTCACCTTAGCCTTCCTTCATGACCTCTGTTCTCTTGTGTCTCCTTTGCCTTCCTTCTTGACCTCTGACCTCTCTGGTCTCACCTTGGCCTTACTTCCTTACCTCTGATCTCTGGTGTCTCCTTGGACCTCCTCCCTGACATCGTTGGTGTCTCCTCGGCCTTCCTCCCTAACCTCTGACCTCTCTGGTGTCTCCTCGGCCTTCCTCCCTGCCCTCTGACCTCTCTGGTGTCTCCTCGGCCTTCCTCCCTGCTCTCTGACCTCTCTGGTGTCTCCTCCCCCTTCCTCCGTGCCCTCTGACCTCTCTGGTGTCTACTCGGCCTTCCTCCGTGCCCTCTGACCTCTCTGGTGTCTACTCGGCCTTCCTCCGTGCCCTCTGACCTCTCTGGTGTCTCCTCGGCCTTCCTCCGTGCCCTCTGACCTCTCTGGTGTCTCCTTGGGCTTCCTCCCTGACATCGTTGGTGTCTCCTCGGCCTTCCTCCCTAACCTCTGACCTCTCTGGTGTCTCCTCGGCCTTCCTCCCTGCCCTCTGACCTCTCTGGTGTCTCCTCGGCCTTCCTCCCTGCTCTCTGACCTCTCTGGTATCTCCTCGGCATTCCTTCCTGACCTCTGACCTCTCTGGTGTCTCCTCGGCCTTCCTCCCTGCCCTCTGACCTCTCTGGTATCTCCTCGGCATTCCTTCCTGACCTCTGACCTCTCTGGTGTCTCCTCTGCCTTCCTCCGTGCCCTCTGACCTCTCTGGTGTCTACTCGGCCTTCCTCCGTGCCCTCTGACCTCTCTGGTGTCTCCTCGGCCTTCCTTCCTGACCTCTGACCTCTCTGGTGTCTCCTCGGCCTTCCTTCTTGACCTCTGACCTCTCTGGTGTCTCCTCGGCCTTCCTCCCTGCCCTCTGACCTCTCTGGTGTCTCCTTGGCCTTCCTTCCTGACCTCTGACCTCTCTGGTGTCTCCCTGGCCTTCCTCCCTGACCTCTCTCTTGTCTCCTTGACTTTCATGATGCTGTTGAGAGACTGATACACTCCAACCACAGCTGTAGACACATAGAGTAGAATACACAGATATGGGCTTAGTCCTTTTAATCATTTAGCATCATTGAGACCTGTTCAAAGGCTATTCATACACTCACTCACCCTGACAACATCCTGTATCTTGTGGTCATCACTTCCACAAGGCCCCAACAAACTCTATTCAACTCGATCTAAGGGTTAATTTAAAAGATGAAGAAAAGCAGATTATTTTCACAGCTTCAGTGAAACCACAGGCTCTCTCAGCAGCAGTGCATCATGGTCCGTCAGACATGTTCACATTCTGCTGCCAAAGCCACACAGGACTGAAGGCTGTGGTTTGAAGGGTGTATCTCTGCATCTGTACTGACTCTTTTGCTTTGGTCATATCCGGTTGGAGCCGGTGCTTTTCTCTCACAATGTTCAGTTATTATAGAAGACAGAAACATAAAGTATTAGATAATGTCAGATTTATGTCTGTCTTTATAGATCCTTAAACACTCCAATAACTGATAATCTGTCATTGGAGAAAGAAACTGAACTTTACCACAGTATTAATCAGAACTTATTTGGATACAATAAATTAGTTTGAAAAGAAACAAAACATTTCTTTTGTTTATGACTCGAGAATTGTTCTGAGAAGAAGTGGACAAGTATTTGTCGTTGAATGAAATCGACTGTTTTAAATACAACTGTTTATCAAAATGTGCGAGGGTTTGGGGCAATATCAGTCAGTTTATTCGCAAATTCACTGATGCCAAACTCTAAAAAACAACTCTGAAACAGAACCTTTCAAACCGTATCCAATAGAAGTGTAGAAGGAAAGAGCAAGTAGATGCAAAAAATGATCAGATAACTACTTCAGCCAATGGTGTTGCGTAAAATCTACCGTCCAATCAGAAGGCTCCATTCACATGGGTTAAACTCTTCCACAGTCGACCCAGAAACTCACGGGAACCACTGCCTTCTGCACAATGAGGCTTTTGAGAGGAGTCTGTGTTTTTCTGCTCTCTACTGTCTGTGAGTAAAATCCCACAATTTATTATTTCATCTCAGACTTTGGAAAAGGATTTGTTTTGTGTTTCAGGTGCAGCTCAGTTACTGGAAATCCAGCAGCAAGAATGTTTGAGAACTGCAAAGCTCGGAGAAACCGTACAAATGAAATGTCTGAGCAAGAGTTATCGGGAAACCTATTTCTGGTTCAAACTGAGCATTAACAGGAGTCTGCACGTTGTCGCTTCACAAAACTTGTTTCAGCTAAATCCACCAAGAGATGATCATTATTCAGTGAAATCTTCTGAAGATCAAACCACTTTGACCATAAAGCAGATGAGGAAGGAGGATGTCGGCACGTACTACTGTGGAATCATCAGCTCTGTTAATGCTGTCTTTGGATCAGGCACTGTTCTGGAGCTGGATCAGGACTCAGAGCCTCTACAGTCCATGGTCCAGACCCCAGACTTGGTCCCAGTGAAGTCAGGAGACTCTGTGACCCTCAGCTGCTCATTCAACACCAGCCGATGTTCAGGACAAACCAGCGTCACTTGGATTAGAAGTGGTTTGAAGTCTGAGATTATTGAACGTAACTCTGTAAATGAGAATATATTCTGTGGGAGCGCTGGAGAAACTTCTTGTGTTCATAATCTGACTCTGAAAGATGTAAAGTCCAGAGAAGAGGGGACCTACCTCTGTGTGGTGTCCACCTGTGGACACACTCTCACTGGGACAAGGATCCATGTGAACGGTACGGAAAAGATATCTTATATGTGTCTCTTTCACCTCTTGAGGGAATCAGGAAGTTACTTCTTTGATAAAACTGTAACAATAGTCAAAATACATTTCTCACAAAAAACTTCCTAGAAAAACCTTCTATAAGCTCAAGTTTTATTTATTTTAATAATTTCATCCATTGAAAACACATTAGTGGAAGTTCTGTTGCGAGTACACAGAAGATGGAAAAGTACTTAATATTTGTAGTTTGGTATTCAAAGTATATATTTTCTGTCTTCAGTAGAAACCACAGTTCTCTCTGAGGCCGAGCCCTACACTCTGATTGTGTCAGTCGTTGTGCTTGGACTGGTGGTGTGTGTCCTACTGTGGGGGATTTGGAGAAGCAGCCAGAAAAGAGGTACGTTATATAATGCATAAGTGCCATTTCATGTCCACAGAGCAGTGGCTCTTTATCTCACACACTCACACCAGAATATACGTCTTTTTCAGAAGTGAAGCGCTGTGACCATCGGCCTCTCTCCACTCAGGTCAGACTGAAGTCCTGCCTTCTCATCTGTACTACACTTTCTAGACTCTGAACTGTGGTCCAACACCAACATCAAATACTAACTTGCATCAATCACAGCAATTGTTAGAAATTCAGTCTCATAGATTGCAGTGCATTCCTGTAGCCAGTCGTCTGTTACGATGGTCCAGGTCGTCATCTCTGAGGCCAAACATGGTAAATAGTTTACATGGTCCTTCTACAGTCTATTCAGGCCAACCATCAGACACCGGCTCCACCTGAGGTATATGTACCAAACAACACGATGGCCACTTTGGAGCTCGACCTTTCACTGTCCAGGGATTGTTCCCACTCATAATTGAGTAAATGAGTCATCAGAGGCCAAAACCACAGGACCTCCGGCAGTTTTACCCACGGCTGGAGGAGTTGCAAAGTTCCTTTAAAAATGATTTATTTTTCAAGTGTATTTTATAAACATCCACTGCCGTAGTATGCAGTAGTGCTGCAGTACAAAGAGATAAAAAAGCTTTAGTAAAAGAACTGACAGTGACGACAATGTATCAGAATCCAAAATATAAACATGATTATCAGAATTTAGATAAAAGAACGATTCAGTTCAACAGTAGTAATTAGCATAAATGAATGAATGAATGAACACAATCCCGTACCACATGAACCCCGTGTTGTACAGGAACCCGATGCAAACAAAATGTCTGAGCCAGACGTGTCGTCTGTGAATGAATGAAGCAGTCTTTGGATGCAGATACAACTAATTGTGAGTTTTCATGAGTTTCTCCTCGGTTACAGCCTGACGACGGCCTCACGTACACAGCTGGGGAGTTGCAGTCTTCCTCCGGGTCGACCACAGCGAGACTCAGGAGAGACCGAGACTCGTACACAAAGGTCTGGTACTGTCACTGCGAATGAGGACCCAGCTCTGAACCCAAACGCTTCCATCAACTCCTCGCTCTGAAGAAATGTGTTTGTTTTCTCTGTTGTTTGCTATGAAATAAAATACTTAAAACTCATCTTGTTGTTTGTTTTTGGAGGAAACTTCAGATATTAGTGTTTTTCGGGTCAGATACTCGTTTTTATCGGAGAATAACTTACATTTGTTAAAGCAAGTAAGACACTTGGGACTCACTTCTCAGAGGCCACAGTCCGGCGGGGGGGGGGGGGGGGGGGGGGGGGACGGACGTGGTCAGTCTGACGTTTCAAGCCTTAAACATAAAGAAGACATAATACACTTTTTTAAATTCATGTCCAGGTCTGTTTTGTGTTTATCGTCATTGAACTGATGAAGAAAAGCAGATTATTTTCACAGCTTCAGTGAAACCACAGGCTCTCTCAGCAGCAGTGCATCATGGTCCGTCAGACATGTTCACATTCTGCTGCCAAAGCCACACAGGACTGAAGGCTGTGGTTTGAAGGGTGTATCTCTGCATCTGTACTGAGTCTTTTGCTTTGGTCATATCCGGTTGGAGCCGATGCTTTTCTCTCACAATGTTCAGTTATTATAGAAGACAGAAACATAAAGTATTAGATAATGTCAGATTAAAGTCGTTTTTTTAGACACTGGACAAGTTTCAGTTGTAGAAGTTAGCAGCATGTTTAAATGGTGTCTAAAAGATTCAGTTATAGATCTTTAAAACATTTGATAATCTGTCATTGGAGGAAGAAACTGGACTTTACTACAGAAGAGCTTAGAACTTATTTGGAGACTCATTCTAATTTGTTTGTTAAGCAGCTGGGTAGAAAGCTTTCTTCCTGAAGTGCACGACTGAGAGCTCTAATTATAAACTCTACATTGGGCCTCAGGTATGAACGTTGCGTAGAAAAGGGTGTATATTTTGGGTAATATATTCCATTTACGCAACATCCCGACGCGGGGCATTTATAGAACGTGTGAGATACACGCAAACAGATCTGAGCGTAACGCACCTGCGGGCTGTTGATAAATGCCCGCTCAAAACCAGCGTATTTATGAAAGTCACGGCCTAGAACATATTCAGAAACTGCCGTTTTTCCACGCCCGGTTTTTGCCGACTGTTTTTGAATGAGGCAAGAGAAGTGTATTTTATAATCACATCCACTGCCGTAGTATTGCAGTTATTGCTGCAGTACATAAGATAAAAAATCTTTAGTAAAAAGAACTGGACTCAGTGACAACAATGTATCCACGAAATCCCAAATATAACAATGATTATCGAGAATGTAGATAAACAGAAGAACGTTTCGCGTTCAACTAGTAGTAATGAGCATAAATGAATGAATGAATCGAACACCAATCCCGTACCTCAATGAACCCCCGTGGTTGTACTAGGAACCCGACAATGCAAACAAAATGTCGGAGCCCGACGTTTGTCGCTCTGTGAATGAATGACAGCAGGTCTTTTGGATGCAGATACAAACTAAGTGGTTGAGTTTTCGAGGAGTTTCTTCTCACTCGTTACACGCCTGACGTACGGCCTCACGTACAACTCAGCTGGGAGTTGCCGTCTTCCGTGCCAGGTAGCGTCCACAGCGAGACTCAGGATGAGACCGAGAAACCCCTTCGTACACAAAGGTCTGGTACTGATCAGCCTGCGAATGAGGGACCCAGCTCTGAACCGCCATAACGCTTCCATCAACGTCCCTCGCTCTGAAGAAATGTTTGTGTTTTCGTCTGTATGTTTGCTACGTGAAAATAAAATCCCAGCTCATTTTGGATAGGATGCGAATTGATTGTTCTGAGTGTAATGTATTCCACCGTACGGAACGCAGATGAAATGTACTTGTTTAGACCGTTTCAACCTGAGGACTGCTCATCAGCATGTGACTGGTCCCACCCACAAACAAGAGGACACAGATCTAGACCTGCTAATTACAAGGTTTCACATGTTAACAGAGGTGGCTCGACTGTTGGCTGTGTGGGCTAGCATTTTTCGGCTAGTGGGAAGTCAGAAACTAAGCATGGGGAGGCAGCATTTCGGGAGTACTGCAGCTAAAACGCCTGCAGGAATCTCACCCTGCCCCTCTCCCCCACTGTCCGCAACCCTGGGAGTCCTCATTTTTTTTTTGACCCATTCCTGTCATTTGAACACCCATCTCCAAAATCCTCTGTAAGAATCTCCTTTTTTCATCTCAAAAACATCTCTCCGAACAACTCCGCGCCACTCTCTTCCCCCGTCGCTGAACGCTGAAACTTTAGTTCATGCCTTTGTCTTCTTCCAAGGCTGGATTACTGCAAACGCCCTCCTCGTCGGGACCACCGGCACAAAAGCCTTCAAAAGCGTGCAGTCATGCATCCAAACTACCCACCGCTGGCAGGAGTCCTGACGAGGGACGCCGAAGCACCAGCACATCACACCCAGTCCTCCGCGGATCGTGATCACTGGCTTCCACTCCATCCAACGGCCTACCACTACAAAATCGGCCTCCTCACCTGACCAATGCATCCATCGGACATGCCCGCGGACTAGCTCACAGAACGTTCTCACATCCTCCGCCCACTTCTGCACTACTGCATACTACGGCAGTGGATGTTCAAAAAAGAAAATAAAATTTTAAAGGTAAACTGCAACTCCTCCAGCCGTGGGTAAAACTGCCCGAGGCCCTGTGGTTTTGGCCTCTGATGACTCATTTACTCTAATTATGAGTGGGAACAATCCCTGGACAGTGAAAGGTCGAGCTCCAAAGTGGCCATCGTGTTGTTTGGTACATATACCTCAGGTGGAGCCGGTGTCTGATGGTTGGCCTGAATAGACTGTAGAAGGACCATGTAAACTATTTACCATGTTTGGCCTCAGAGATGACGACCTGGACCATCGTAACAGGACGACTGGCTACAGGAATGTACTGCAATCTATGAGACTGAATTTCTAACAATTGCTGTGATTGATGCAAGTTAGTATTTGATGTTGGTGTTGGACCACAGTTCAGAGTCTAGAAAGTGTAGTACAGATGAGAAGGCAGGACTTCAGTCTGACCTGAGTGGAGAGAGGCCGATGGTCACAGCGCTTCACTTCTGAAAAAGACGTATATTCTGGTGTGAGTGTGTGAGATAAAGGGCCACTGCTCTGTGGACATGAAATGGCACTTATGCATTATATAACGTACCTCTTTTCTGGCTGCTTCTCCAAATCCCCCACAGTAGGACACACACACCCCAGTCCAAGCACAACGACTGACACAATCAGAGTGTAGGGCTCGGCCTCAGAGAGAACTGTGGTTTCTACTGAAGACAGAAAATATATACTTTGAATACCAAACTACAAATATTGAGTACTTTTCCATCTTCTGTGTACTCGCAACAGAACTTCCACTAATGTGTTTTCAATGGATGAAATTATTAAAATAAATAAAACTTGAGCTTATAGAAGGCTTTTCTAGGAAGTTTTTTGTGAGAAATGTATTTTGACTATTGTTACAGTTTTATCAAAGAAGTAACTTCCTGATTCCCTCAAGAGGTGAAAGAGACACATATAAGATATCTTTTCCGTACCGTTCACATGGATCCTTGTCCCAGTGAGAGTGTGTCCACAGGCGGACACCACACAGAGGTAGGTCCCCTCGTCTCTGGACTTTACATCTTTCAGAGTCAGATTATGAACACAAGAAGTTTCTCCAGCGCTCCCACAGAATATATTCTCATTTACAGAGTTACGTTCAATAATCTCAGACTTCAAACCACTTCTAATCCAAGTGACGCTGGTTTGTCCTGAACATCGGCTGGTGTTGAATGAGCAGCTGAAGGTCACAGAGTCTCCTGACTTCACTGGGACCAAGTCTGGGGTCTGGACCATGGACTGAAGAGGCTCTGAGTCCTGATCCAGCTCCAGAACAGTGCCTGATCCAAAAGCAACTTCATTAGATTTCGGTACTCCCACAGTAGTAGGTGCCGACATCGTCTGTTCTCATGTTCTTTATGGTCAAATTGGTTTCATTTGGAGTAGACGTGACTGAAATATCATCAAACTCTTTTTCTTCATTGGCCATATTTGTTGACGCGATCAGATGCAGATTCCTGTTGGTGCTTTGTTTATACCAAACCCTGTTCCTCCAAACACTCTTGGTCAGACACTTCAGAACCACGGTCTCTCCGAGCTTTGCCCTTTTCAAACATTCGAGCTGTTGGACTTGTCGTGTCTGAGCCGCACCTGAAAAACAACACAAAAACAACACACAGGTTCTGAAAAGTCTGTAAATGTCCCAGTTTTCTCTGCAGATCTGCTCAAACTCACACAGCGTCCAGAGCACAGGGAGGAGGACAGCGTTCAGCATCACCATCGTGAGAAGACTGAGTGGATGTGGGCAGGGTGGAAATATAAGGTGGGGAGCGGAGCATTCTGATTGGACGAAAGGAGTTGATGCTGACTTGGAAGCACGACTTTGCAAATGTCTTGCAAAGGCTCATGAGTTGATCTCTGAAAAGATATGGTTGAACTAAACCTCGAAACCATCTCTGAAGCGCTTCCCCTCTTGCAACACCTCTCTCTGCACTGGTGCGTAACTTAAAGGGACATAACATAAACATCGACGTTTCTCAGGTTTATGTAATGTTGTAGTCATTCTCACACTCAAAGCTGTTTTCATTATGATTCATGTATATTGGAGTTATACATATTCTCATGGCATGCCGACATTGCTCTCCCCCCAGTCTTCTGACTACCGACACTTTGCCACTACCCCAGGATATGCAAAGGAAGGTTTCTCACCCATCATCTGTACTTCTTAGCAAGTTTTCCCGACGTTTCGTCCTCAACCTAGCGGACTTCTTCAGGGAATGAATTCTCGGACCGCGCGTTGGAGATTTATAACCTATGGGTGTGGTAAGCCACACCCTAATCCTGATACTAACTCGTAAACAATCTAAGGTCTGCTTGATGTAGAAGGGAGCAGGTCTAACGACCCTGCTGAGGCTAACGACCCTAACTCCTTAGCATGTCACAGACCTATTGTCTGCTGGGATGCTCAAGTGGAGTGCAGGTTTCACCCCTCCTAACTCATTAGCATGTCACTGACCTTGTCCCAAGTTAGGGCGTTGTTTTTAGGATGTCGTCATAGATGCGAGGCAAAACAAATCTTAACCCTCCTCCTCTGTTAAGAGAAGGTTTTTGTTTCCTCACAAAAATGGCTTCTTTCACCCCTCTCTCAAACCAATTCTTCTCCCGAGCCAGAATTTTAACCTCTGTGTCATCCACCGTGTGGTTGGAGGCCTTGAGGTGGAGATGAACAGCCGACTGTGGCCCACTAGAGTTTTCTCTACGATGTTGGTAAAGTCGTTTCTGTAGAGTTTGTTTGGTTTCTCCAATATAGTGGTCAGTGCACTCCTCTTCACTACATTTAATTGAATACACCACATTGCTCTGTTTGTGTCTGGGTGTTTTGTCTTTGGGATGCACTAATTTCTGTCTTAACGTGTTGAAAGGTTTGAAATACACAGGGATTTTGTGTTGCCTAAAGATTCTTTGTAGTTTCTCTGAAACTCCCGCCACATACGGTAAGGACACCCCTCTCCTCCTACTTTCTTCTGTCTGTTGGACTGTGTCTCTGGCCTTTCTCGTCCTTTGGGCTTTAGTAAAAGACCACTTGGGGTAGCCACATCTGGAAAGTGCTCTCTGAACATGTTTGGTTTCTCTGTTCTTTCCTTCCGAGCTTGTGGGGACCTGGTGGGCTCGGTGTTGAAGCGTTCTAATGACCCCGAGTTTGTGTTGTAGCGGATGATTTGAATCAAAGGCCAAGTACTGGTCAGTGTGAGTGGACTTTCTGAAGACCTCAGTCTCTAATTGTCCGTTCTCCAGTATGATGACCTTACAATCTAGAAAGGCGAGTTCACTCTCCTTAGCATCCTCGCGAGTGAAATTTATAAAAGGGTCCACCGAGTTAATGTGTTCTGAAAATGGTTCCACTTCCTGTTTCTTTAACTTAACCCATGTATCGTCTACATATCGAAACCAATGGCTTGCCGCTGTCCCTTGGTAAGAGCCCAGGGCTTGTTCCTCCAGTTTCTCCATATACAGATTGGCCACTATAGGAGAGACTGGGGAGCCCATCGCACAGCCATGAATCTGTCTAAAGAAGGTGCCTCTAAATTGGAAATACGTGGTGTTAAGACACATTTCAAGTATTTCACAGATGTGGTCAGCTGTTAGTTTCGTTCTCTCCCCTAGTGTGGCGTCTTTCTGTAGGCTTTCTCTTACAGCCTCCACCGCCTCTGTAATAGGAACCGACGTAAAAAGCGATGTCACATCAAACGAGACCATTGTCTCATCTGTGTCAAACTGGAGGTGTTTGATTTTATTTACAAATTCTTTTGTGTTTTCTATGTGATGGTGGGTGTTACCCACCAAAGGAGCCAGAATGGTTTTGAGGTGTTTAGCCAGGTTGTAGGTGATAGAGTCTATGCTACATACAATAGGCCGAAGTGGAAAGTTGCTTTTGGACATTTTTGCACATTAATTTACACTCATGGACATTGGTCATCTTAACCATGGGCAAAGGCCAAATGGTTTGATTCTCTGATCTTTGTAAAGTCGGTTGGAAACACAGGCGGACACCACACAGAGGTAGGTCCTTTCTTACCTGGACTTTACATCTTTCAGAGTCAGATTATGAACACAAGAAGTTTCTCCAGCGCTCCCACAAAATATTTTAGAGTTACGTGCAATAATCTCCAACTTCAAACCACTTCTAATCCAAGTGACGCTGGTTTGTCCTGAACATCGGCTGGT